GGCTGTTAGTCAAATATTGCCTTTCATCACCCTTTGAGGTTTTCATGTTTCTTCCTGTCTGTGATTGCTAAGGATGTTTACTTACCCAAAGAATAACAGAAAAAAAAAGAAAAAAAAAAACCCCAAAACATGAACAAGGGGACATCTTACTGAGACTTCTAGGCTACTGGGTTTTGCTTTGAATCATAGATCGAATGTCATTGTTGTGTGTACATGTGGTGTGTGTGTTTATATGTATGTCTCTGTGTTTGAGTATAATATTTGCACATAAATGTGTAAGTACAGCCATAATGTATGCCTGTTGGGTGTCAGATCAAAACACCCTCAGAAACATATTCTCTGTTATGGTCAGAAACAATTTTGGGCACTGGGCAATTCCAAGGCAGTGTAATTAAGGTAATTAAATAACTAGCTATCTCTTTTTTTCACATCACATAGTATCACAAAATTTTAGCTTTCTTAAATAAAAAAGATACTCCAATTATTTAAATGAAAACATCTGAATCAATTTCTTGTTTGCTTATCGATGAAGAATAATAAATATTCTAGAACCTTAAGTTTGTGATTACACAATAGGAAAAAAAAAAATTCTGGAACTGATGATGCCCTTAATCCCATGGTGGATGTCTCCCCATCATCACAGATTCCCTGCCCCCTACATGCTTTTCTGCAGCCTCCAAGAATGCCAGTCCAAGCAGCCTCAAGCTTCCAGTAGGGGGTGCTGTTGTCTAATACAACAGCCTATTGTTCTCAGAATTTGGTTATCGCTTCAGATCATTTCTAAACTTTGCCCTTTCCCAAGATTTAATCTGTTTAAATTGATATTGGTTATTTGCTCTTAAGTTTACTGTGAATTTAATCTGTTACTGTTTAATACATGAAAGTGCGATTTTGGTTGCTGCTGCTGCTTCACTGCATGAATTTTCCCCAGAATGTGTTCTGAATATCAGTGAGCTTGTTTAGTAAAATAATTGATGATTTTATTGTTTTAAAAACAATTAAATATTTGATTACTTAAAAAAATGCATGATGTGAATTGTTTGTATTCTGGAATCAAACTTGTATACTTAAGAATATACAAGTCTTGCCTAGAAAATTTTATTTTTCAGCTGGTGGAGATGCATTATATTTGCATTTTTGAGCCTGAATAATTTTAATTCCATTTTTATTGTACAAACCCAAGAGGAACATTTGCTTTGTTTTCACTGATTACTTATACAATTATTCTTTTCAGATACTACATGAACCATGAACCATAATATTATATTCCTTGCTAATACATTTTGGCAAAAGTATTTACATGAAAACACAATACATAAATGTAATGACTTTCTCAAATGAGTACATTGTTGCCGTGAAGCAATTACCCTTATTTTAATACAAGTAAAATTCATTAAATTTTTCTCAATTAGCAAAGCGACTTTTCCAAATGAACTAGTGAAGAGAAAACATTGCTTGTTTTATCCTAACCCAGCTCATTTGCCTTTTATTACCAGGTGCCTATTTGAGGATGAGAGAAAAAAAAGAGAAGTGTTTAATTTTAATAAACTTGATGCAATGCTGACTCCTAGGGGATTAGGTATGGTTCTGACACACTTAGTTTCTTTTCAGTTAGTTTCAAAGCAAAAGTTAGATTTGAAAGCAAAAGGCTTTGAAGCAAAGATATTATGTTCAAGACTCTCTCATGTTGAAAAGTAGAACTTTGAGGCCCAAAGGAACAAATCCTTTGGATTGTAAACTTAATTTAAACAAAAGAATATTTTATTGTTTCCCCTCTCACTAAAATGTTGAAGTCTCAGTAAGTCTAATAACCATCTGGTACCATTTGACACAGAAGCGTTGAGTTGAGCCCTCTGCCTTTAAGTGCAAATGTAGCCTTTTGGAAGCAAATATAATTAACTTTGAATTCACATTTATATAGCATAGATTTCAGGTTAATTTATCTCAACCATTCTTTTCTTAATTAATTTTAAAGATCTAGTATTGGTTATTCATTTTATGTGTAGAGCAAAACATTGTTTTAAGATAAAAAAAAGATAGTTATGCTAAATGACTCAAGGTATAGGATCTGTAAAATCTGTATATATTCCTAATAAAACTGCAAGGACTAATAATATTAATTATCCTATATGTTGGGGTGGCTCCTACTTTTAAGATACTTAGTATCATGGAATCTAATTCTTGTAAAACCTGTTTAGCATTCTTCAAATGGACGGTAAGACATCAGTTAATATTTCTAAGGGTTCCAATTGCTAGTAATGTTTTTCTAGGATATGGGACAACTAATATGGTGTCTGTCTTGCAGAAAGCTAAAGTGCCTTTTGGGGTGTCAGATCAAAACACCCTCAGAAACATATTCTCTGTTACGGTTAGAAAAAATTTTGGGCACTGGGCAACTTCAAGGAAGTGTAATTAAGGTAATTACATAACCAGCTATCTCTTTTTTTCATGTTAATAAGTATCACAAAATTTTAGCTTTCTTAAATAAAAAGACACTCCAAATATTTAATGAAAACTTCTGAATCAATTAGCTATATACAAAACATTAACTTCTGAATGCTAATTATGAGGCAAATTATCAATGTATTTTCTTGATAATCCAAATAGCTCTTAACTTGATGGGCTAGGGGTGGGATGGGGTGGGTAGAGTCCTTAAAAATTAAAAAAAAGGAGAAGGAGAAGAATATTCATGCCAGTAAAGAAAGGGCACATGGTATTCTCCATAAAAGGAAAGAGGCTCCTCGGAAAGATGGCAGATTTCAGGTATGAGTCTGGGAATACACAGCTGTGTCTAGAGCTTCTGGTAGTGCTGAGCGTGAGGAAGTGCTAAACACACATACACACACACATACACAGGCAAATGAGGCATGAAAAGGGGTCATAGGAACTAACCTAAAAGCTGCCAGTGGACAAACCTGGACAATTTGAGTAATAAAATAAATAAGGCGGTATTAAATTATATCCCAAAGTATAAATCAACATTCATAAGTTCATGATTGAATAAATAAATTAATAGGGATAAGAATTAAATCTTCCATATGGAAGAATTCCAAATAATTTATGTAGATACTCACCACCACTCTTAAAGGTGGTAGAGCTTTGCTCTCCATCCCTCAAGGGTGAGCTGTGCTTAACGACTGACTTCTGATGAGCAGAGTGTAGAAAGGGGAAGTAAATAACTATGGTAGAGAAACGTGGCCAATACTATCTATGGGCAGCATTAATAAAATCGGTAAAATGTCATGTTGATGGTATGTCTTACTCCCAAATACTCTATCCCTAGCTGAACCATGGTGAGAAGCATCAGACAAACCCACAACTGAAGAACATTTTATGAAATACCCGACCAGCACTCCCTAGAACAACTCAATTCATGGAAAATAAGGAGAACTTGAGAAATTGTCATGAGTGGAGGAGGTTAAGGAGACTTCATGACTAAATGCAATGTGATATTCTGGAATACAGTCCTGGTACTGGGAAAAACTGTGAAACAGAATAAACTGAGGAATTTAGTTAACAGTCATGTATCCATATTGGCTTCCTAATTGTGACAAATGAACCAGGAGAAGTGGTGATGGGCATAAGGGACTTAACTTTTACAGCTTTTCATTAAGTTTAAAACTATTCTAATATTAAAACGTTATTTTTTTTAAGAAAGGGTACTTAAGATTCATTTCTATTCCACTGGTCTTAATAGTTTGGGGAAGAAGTTGTGGGTGGGGAAAGAGGAGAAGCATGAATGATGTGTGGGAACCGCTCCCCTCCTGCACCCACACATTCACCTTTCTGGATATTAGTAATCATGATGTCAATTGGGTTGGAAGAAGTTCATGTTTTGTATGTAGCTAATGGTTAATGTAACAGACATGCCTGATCATATGAGCTGGCACTGTGGTTTTAACATAACCTGGAGTGGTATCTTTTAAGAACCACTGTTCTGGGACTCCCTTTGCCTCTCCACTGTGTAGAATCCCTGGTCCACTGGATTCTGTTTTTCCTAATTGGCTTCCCCTCCCTTTCTGGGGGGTTGGGGGAAACAATGAAGAACCTTCTCCATTAGTTTAATGAAAAACTATACATAAATAAGGTTTGGGAAACTTGAATCTCTAAATGTCTCATTAAGTGATATTTTGGGTCTAGAATTCCAAAATGCAAATGACCTTCCTCAGAAGTTGGTAGGCATCACTCCACTTTCTTCCAGCTTCTTGTTCTCTTTTTTAACAAGTCTGATGAAACCAAGGGGTGTTTTACTACAGAGCTGCATGGCCAGTCCATTTTTAATTCTGTTTTTCCATATGGTCTCCATAAGTTGCTGATGTAGGTCTTGAACTTGCAACCCTCCTGCCTCAGCCTCCCAAGTTGCTGGGGTTACAGATGTGGGCCACTGTGACCAGCCAGTCTAATTCAGTTCTGAATCTTAATTGTTTATATCAAATCTGTTTTCTCCCTTTGAAAGCTTTATAGATCTTCGCATTGTCTTCTGTGTTCTGAAATGTCATAATTATGAAACTTGTATAAGTCTATTTTTATTTATTGTACTGGACACATCCTAAGTCCTTTAAATTCTTCATTTTGTTGTGGGAAATTCTCATAAATGGTTTTGTTGTTGACTTCCACTCCTCCACTTTCCCTGACATAGTATTTGGTTCTTCTGTGTTTCTCCTCTAATTTTTAAATAACTATGCTTATATTTCTATTTATCCTTTGATATAATTTAAGATAGTTTGTCAATTTATCTGCTTATCCACTTACTGAATTTCTATTTTTCAATCCTCATGCTTTTAATTTGCAATAATTCTTTATTTTTTACATTTTTCTGAGAGGCTCATTTTTATTAGAATCTCCCATTTCAGGAAACTTATTTCTCGAAACATTTTGATAATAACTTTTTTTTTCTATGTTTTCATCTCCCTCTAGTCTTTTGTCTCCTCTAAGCTGCAACTTATTTGTTCTTTCTGTAGTTTTGTTTTGTTGTCATGTGTATGTTGGATCTTCTCCTTTAGATATCTAGGGATTCTTACCTGGTTTGTAATAATTAAGAGTGGATTGCTGGATACAGTGGCCCACATCTGTGATCCCAGCAGCCCAGGGGTTGAAGCAGGAGCATCACACATTTATGGCCAACCTGGACAACTTAGTGAGATCCTGTCTCAAAAGAAAAAAAAAAGTGCTGAGGATGTAGCTCAGTGGTAGAGCACCCCTGGGTTCAATCCCCATTAACACACAAGAAAAAAAAAGAGTTGCCGCAGTCCATCTGCAGCAAAATAGCGGGGGGGGGGGGGGTAACGAACAACTTGTGTAGATTGATACAGCAGGAGTGGGAGCCGTTTATTTTAGGACAGGAGGGGTATTTATACATTCCACACAGCTTATCTAATTAACATAAACTAGATACAGCAGTCAACCAATAAGGAATCTCCACACTGGCGTTACTTCACAAACCACTCCCTCTGGCAAAATGCCAGGAGCCATCCAGACTTGTTTACAGACTCTAACATTTGCCAGGCGCCATCCTGACTTGTTTACAGACCCTAACAAAGAGAGTATCACAAAAAATTCAGGGAAAATTCTATGCTTCCAATGGGAGGCTTGATGACTATGGGGGTAGAATGATTGAGCTGGTCTGTTTATGGAAATTCCCATCCCTTATTAGTGTTTCTAGATCTTTTCTCTTGGCTGGTCTGATTTTCAAAGATGAAACTATCACTTTGGTAGGGGGATGTAGATCTCATCATCTACTTTAGGGGAGCAAAGTAGAGGAAGAGATGTTGGCAGTGGCTTCAATATTTAATAAGTGAGCATATTTAGTTTAATCTTCATTTCAAGATAATGTCCACATCATTAACTGTTTCTAGACCCCCTCCCCACCACAATCTATCCCTACTCCAGTCTAGATGTCCTCTTATTACCTCTCCATAAGAATCAGGCACCAGTTTGCCACAGGTAGGAGAAGTGATGGAAGTCCCATTACACCTTCAACAAGCTTTCTACCATTTTTCCTGTTTTCAAAATTGTCTTCATATCATAAATACTAGGACCATCAATCCCCAAGCCTTTAGGATTCAATCCCTAGAATCATTCTATCCCCTCCCCCTTACCTCAGGATTTTTGACCTCTTTACCAGGTGAGGTGCCAGCTGTCCTGCTTACACCTGTCAACAGGTTGTTGCTATCACCTCCCTTCTCATTTTCTTTGTCTTAATATTTTATGCCTCTTTTTTTCAAAAAACCCTTTCTTATTGTTTGTGTGTATATATGTATGAAGAAAGTTATATGTTTTACTTGCCATTGTTAGATGGAAATTCAATAGAAAAACTGAGACACGATGTTCTCTTGAGTCATGCAATGGAATCATTGTGAAGTCTCAGCTTTAATCCTAAATAAAGTTGGCCCTAGCAAGAACTGAGTAATCAAGATGCTCAATCATTCCTATGATTGAGAGATGAAAGGATGCTGATTGCTGGAACCATTGTGCCAGTTGGAATGAATAAGGCAAACTTCTGGTAAGTGGTCTAAGTATATATGCAGTAAGATTTTTCTTCTTTTCTTTCACTATTAGATCAAAGAAAATTAATTAAGTAGATAGAAAAAAAGAGAAACTATTTCTTTTTGCTGAGCACCTTTCATATAGTCTTGGGAAAATAACTCTTCTTTGAAGAGGCCTTAAAGTCCTGAAGGATTCAATAACAATCATCTGAAGGTCACACAAGCAAATGTGTACCCATAGGAACCACATAGGTATAAATGAGATATATGGCAAATAGACCATGAGATATAACATATGGCAAAATAGAACATGAAATATAATATATGGCAAAAGGCCTTTTTCCTTAGGGTTGGGGATACCACAGAAAACATGAAGGAACTATGGGTAACTTGAAGGTGAATGCTCTATTTACAGTGTTCTTACTAATGAACTTTAACCTATTAGTAACTTGTGGAAATGAGCAATATACATTATCAAGAGAAACTAGAAATACGCTTTTAAGGTGAAATTATTCAATGATGTTAAAATGAAATATTACAATATTAACATGAAGCCTTTTAAATAATTTTAAACATTGACAAGCAGTTCAAAAATGATAAACACTATTCAGGCCAAGGAAAACATATTAGTGAACCAAATTGAGTTGCAATGTTCATTTTATAACCCATGCCATAGTGTCCTATTTATCCTGGTTCCTATTTCAAGATTGCACAGGGTCATTCATAACTGTTATGGCAAAAGTAGTTTTTGAGGTTGACATTTATCTCTGGGAAATATTAAGCTTATTAAGATTGAAGAAAGGAGATTTAAAAATTCTATGTGCTCTTGGCCATGGAGCAACACTATTTTCATGCCATTTCTCAGCTTTAAAAAGGAAGCGGGGCTGGGGTTGCGGCTCAGTGGTAGAGCGCTTGCCCAGCATGTGTGAGGCACTGGGTTTGATTCTCAGCATCTCATATAAATAAATGAATAAAATAAAGCTTATCAACAACTAAAAATACATACACTTTTTTTTTAATAAGAGGAAGGAAGAAAACTGCTAAAGATACATTATTGTTAAAAAAAACTAAGAACAGTATGTTTAATATGTTAACTTTTATGTTAAAATAGAAGCATATTTTTATATTTGCTTGTCTATGCATGAAGAAAAATTTTAAAATTTCATAAAAAGATTTAATAATGACCTCTGGGGTAGGAACTGTGTAGGGGAGGACAATCTGGAGAGGTCTTTGCTATATATGTTTTTCTTGAGTTATGATACCACCTTTTCAAACAATTAAATTAAAATCTTATTCCATTTTAATCACAAATCCATATCAAACAAACCTAAGTTTGAAAAGGATATTTTAGCTTATGTGCTGAAAGAGTCCAGGGGCAGCGCATAAGCATAAGACATGGCTGAGTAAATTAGGACTTCCTTGCTTTCTATTTCTCTGTTCCTTTATAACTCCTCACACTCAACTCTCACCTGCAATTCTTCTTGCAGCATGTGATTGCCCCTCAATGTTCTGGAAAAATGGTCACAAGCTACATGAACCACTTTGTTCCTATAGCTTGCCAAAGAGAAATAAAACATATTTTCTTCTCTGGCAGGGAAGTCCCAAGAAGGAGTCTTCGACTGTCTTGGGTCACATACCCATCCCTGATCCCGAAGCAATCACTGTGGTCAGGGGTAGAGTACTCTGATTGGCTAAGTATAGGTCATATGGAGATGTTGAGTTTGTCCTCACTTGCACTGTACAGAAAGGGGACGGGTAATCCCTCAAGCTAGGGTTGATGGTAATCAACACATTATCTACTATAAAATAAAACGCTTTAAAAACTCCAAAAATCCTTTTAAATCCTGTGAGTCACACATTTTTATCTAGACCTACTACAGAATTCAGTGTACTTCATGGTACTAGGGACATGGAAAATGACCATCAACTACCCAAAATTCTGCTCTCCATTTATGTGGGTTTGAAAGCTGACACTAGAATATGACATCTTCTTCTAGAACCCTATGAAGTTGTTATTTTATAAAACTAGAAACACATCAAGCCCCTCTCTATTACAGACTGCTAGTTTCCTCTTGGTATAAATAATTTCAAAGTCTAGATTAACATGATGAGACAAAAGAAAATGTGTACAAAAAGAAAGCAAGGCAAAAAGCTTCAGTTTCAGAAATACTGAATTAAACTTTACAAACCTGTCAAATTTTTAGAAGATAAAAAACTCAGTGAAGTTCAATATAAAGTCATCTAACCCAATGACTGAAGACAAAAGGTGGGTTTCTGATTAGTGAGTTAGCTAACTTGTGCATTTTGAAGCTTTTTCAGTTTTTGAGGAGAACCCAGTATGCTTCAGGAGAGAATGCAGGTACACTCAAAAACAACTCTACCTTATTATACATTGTGAAAAGAAGCAGGGTGAAATAAACCCCTGCAATTCTTCCAAATATCAGTTTCCCCATCTGTAAATGGAGATGACAGCTTTGTTTTACAAAATTATTCGGAGTTGCATAGTATCCACTAGAGACAGAATGGTTATGCTCTTCCCCTCCCAAATTCATACAATGAAATTTTAACCCTTAATGTGATAGTGTTGAGAGATGGGGTCATTAGGATGTGTTTAGATAATGATAGCAGAGTCCTCATGAATGGAATTAATTCCCTTGTAAAAGGGACCCCAAGGAGCTCCCTTCCCTTTTTGCCATGTGAAGTGATAGTTCAAAGACTGTTAAGTTCTAAAATCTGGGAAGTGGGCTCTCATCAAACAGCAGCACTGGCACCTTGATCTTGGGCTTCACAGCCTCCAGAACTTCCAGAAAGAAATCTGGGCTGTTTATAAGCCACCCAGTCTATGGTATTTTATCATAGCAGTTCAAATGGACCAAGACAGTATACAACTGCTACTGTACCAAATTACTACAAACTTAATGATATAAAACAACACGAATTTATTATCTACAGTTATGCAGGTCAGAAGTCCAAAATGGGTGGGCAGAACTTCATTAGTTCCAGAATCTCTAGAGGAGAATTTAATTTTCTTGCTCTTTCTAGTTATTAGCTCATGGCCTTATCACACTGATGCCGCAGTCCGGCTGGGCAAAATAACTGGGAGGTGACAAGCAACTTGAAGGTTGAAGCGGGAACTACTTTATTGGTGGGGGGGGCTCAGCGGGAACTGAGCAGGAACTCAAGGTAGCCGGAACCCAAGGTAGCAGGAACCGCTTTATTGCGGAACAGCAGAGGTATATATACCTAACTGATTACATACAGCTTGACTCAATTAGCATCATCTAGATACAGCAGTCAGCCAATAAGGAATCCCCACCATCTTAATGGCTCTGTGGTGTTGCCTCACAAACCACTCCTCCTGGCAAACTGCCAGGCGCCATCTTGACTTGATTTGTGGTCCCTAACACACTGACTTCTGCTTCCATGGTTATGTCTTCTTTTCCAACTCTGATCTTTTTACCTCCCTCTTATAATGATTTGGATAAATGGAAGATAATCCAGAATAATCTTTCAATGTCAAGATTATTAACTTAATAATATCTGCAAAGTTCCTTCCCATCTAAGTAGCATATCCATAAGTTTTGGCAATTAGAACATGGACAACTTTAGGAAGCCATTATTTTGCCTACTTTAGGAATATAAAATGAAATATCTATGAAAGTTCTTAGCACTGTGCTTGTCACATAATAGATGCTAGATCAATGCCAATTTGCAGCTTGTAAGTTTTAACAGTTCAGATGTTTGATCATGCACTCTAGTATTAAAATATTCAATGTCCTGTAAGGCAGAGTATACAATGGTACATTCTTGTAAATGTCACCTTATATTTTTACATTCATGAATCTTGCCTTAGAAAAGATTTTTTCTATCCCAAAATAAGGCAGAATTTGGAGCTACTTTAAGCAGCAAAACATCCAATATACAAATTTTCTTCCATTACTGTTTAATGAAGACCAAAAGCAAACCATGAACTGTGGGAAAATTTCAAAGAACACTCAATGCCCTAAATAATGTTACATCTTGTAGATGGTGCCAAAGGATTAGCTTATCAAGAATGACAGGAGGTTGCAGGAGGTCAAGGTGTGAGTACCTGTGTTTGGGTTAACAGCTTCCAAGGGCATCTCAGGGTCTTTTTTGAGGGGAGGATCTTGCTGGTCCAAACCACATTCAGCACAGTCCAGTGGCTCTAAACCAGTAGATGAAGGCTGGCTTTTAATGTTTTTCTCCTGCCCTATTGCACTCCAACAACTTCAGTGGCTAAATAGGATGCTCCATTGCTTTGAAGAAGGTGTGTGGTAGTCTTTGAGAACCTTCCCAAATGGTTCATGAAGCACAGACCTCATGTCTAAACAAAGGTACATATTAAGACAATAAATTCTAGTGCAAAAAATAAAACACCCATGATATCCAGAGGGGTCAATCTTTGCAGTAATGAAGTTTATATTTGGTATGACGGTCCATCCTTAGTAGGTGTTCTTTCTGGTTAATAATAGTCTTTGTTTAGTAGTTGCTCTCCTAGGAGGCAATGCTAATGTAATACTCACTGAGTTTTCTGCTGCTGGCTGGGAATTATCAATAGGTCATAAATAAACTACCACCACATAGAAAAGACAATAAGATTATATATACTCCTACTACCTCCAATTACAGTAAGAGCAACAATTATAAGGTTGTACTCCTACAGCCTCCCTAGGGAGAAAATGAGAGGAAAATGTTCCATTAGCTTAATGAAGAGAGCATGGCGGAGTCACAGTCAAATTTTCTCACTATTAGCACCTATGGTGTGCCCCTGCACACGAGGGAAGCTTGAGTTGCAGGGTAACAATTAAACTTTTCTGACAATTAGCCCCTACAATGTACGGTCCCTATACCCAAAGGAGACATTTCAAAGAATCACATTTACATTTTTCTCACCTCTTGCCTATAAAATTTGAATAAGTCATTTGCTTGTGGAAATGGAGGAAGTAAGAGTGAAAAGTTTATTTTACGGATGAGTGCAAAGCATCATGTTGGCAGTTTTGCCCAGAGCACAGGTCATCTGAATGCCCCTGTCTATAAAAGGAAAGGTTAAGAAAGAGGAAAGATCTGCAGAGAAATGTTCACACAACCTAATTAGGGAAAAAGATGGACTTGGATAAATGTCAGTTATTTAGCTTCTGTGTTAGGAAGAAGACCACTGAAAGAAAAAAAGAGAGATGTGAGGCTTCACTTTGCAAAGGGCAAAGAGAATCAGGTTTGCCTCCTGGAAGGTGTTGTATTGGAAAGGGAAGAAAGAAGTCTTCTGAGACAGGCTGCCCTGGGCTCAGATTCTAGCTCTACCATTTAATCTCTCCAGGTCTCAATTTTTCTCCTTTGCAACATGGAGGTGCTAATAAAGCAAACTTTCATGGATTATTGGGAGGATTAAAAGAGAAAATGTATAGGGATTAACCAATAGTGCTTAACAAATGTTAGTTATTATTTTTGTTCATACTCAGCCTAGAATGTTGCACATTTGTATAGCATAAGTAAATTTTTGTGTGAAATTGAGTACTATCAAAATTTCCTCCTGGATATCATAATTCAAACTTTACTTTAGGTGGTAGTGCATAGATAGTTTACTTGGTTTCCTCTCAATTTAAAAGGAAGGATATTTATGCAATTTGGAGATATACATTTGAATGCTCTACAAATTGTCCATAAATAAATGGATAAATATGGACAATTAGTGGATCCCCCTCCCCACCCACACATACTACATTGTCAAAAGCACAAGAGACTTTTGTTTGGTCCAACTTTTCTACTCTATCAAGTGGAATCCTGAGGTCCATCATGCCTGTGCACTACTGCTGTTGCTTCTGATTACCGCATGGAGTCACTGTTGAAAAGTGGATGTTCTCCTGTCCCCTTCTCTGGGAAGAACAAAGCAGTTCTTAGAAGCTCTACCCTCTCTTCCTTGGAGATGAATTTGACCAAAGGTGCACCTCTCATGTATATCCTTTTCTGTATTGTACCCCATATCCTCCAGCTCACTAGTTCACCAGAATCAGGACTGGTTCAAATCTCAGCTCTCTCAAAAACCCAGAACGCTCTCCCATCCTTCCCTTAAAACACCCTCAAAGGGGCTTCCTGGATTGCATTTCTAACTTCCAACTTCTAGTTAGAGTTACTGGAAATAAATAAATAGAAATCTGAAAATAAGTAAATAAAAGCAAGTCAAATAGCAAACTTTGTCTTATGAATAAATAGTATTACCTAGGATATAATATTTCAACAAATATTAATCTTCCTGGGCTGGGGATGTGGCTCAAGCAGTAGCGTGCTGGCCTGGCATGTGAGGGGCGCTGGGTTTGATCCTCAGCACCACATAAAAATAAAATAAAGGTGTTGTATCCACTGAAAACTAAAAAAAATAAAGATTAAAAAATTCTCTCTTTAAAAAAAAATTAATCTTCCTGTCTGTGGATTTTATTGGTGCTTCAGAAGGGGGTCTGCAATGGCAATTAGGCTTTTGGTGTTTGTGAAAGTACAGTAGTTAAGATCTTTTAATTGTATCAAGATATTGGTTTGAGAAATGGAAGTACTTCATGTTCACCTGTCCTGCGATGGCTGCTGTCCTGCATCAATCAAGTATTGGGTCACCTCTCCTGCATGAAGTGTGTTGATACCTTTTACAGCGCTTGCTGCTCCTTTCCTATTTACAAAGGGTTCATTATGCCTTCTGCCCTCCAATTTCTGTGACCATTATGAATACGTTGTAAAAACTGCACCCCATTTCCAGAGCTCATTATTCCTTTTCCCTTCATTACTTCCAAAGAATTTATCATCATCTCACATACTTCATATTTTACTTATTCATGTTTCTATTTTCTGCCCTCTCTTAACTATAGCTAAGAGCTGCATGAGAACAGGGGATTTTTGTTTATTCTTTACCTAATCTCCTCAGAACAATGCTTGGCACTTAGTTTCTCAATAGTTATCTCTTGGTAGAATTTATTTTAAACATTTAAATCGTGACCCAACTTCATATTTATTAAAGGATAAATTATCAAGATTATAGATGGGAAAGATTTTTATAACTCTACAAACTTTCTTTCCTAACAATAAGCTCTATCATCATCACTACCAATACTTTTTTTATTATTAATTTGACTCTTCTCCCAAAATTAGGTGGCTACAAATGATAAAATTTGATATCTATATCTTATAAAAGAGGACTTTTAAAAAAAAGAGACTAAGAGATGATCTAGTTATTTTGCCCTGCTCCCATATTTTTTGAGATGTGGAAAGTGACAGCAGATCATGTAGTTCTGAGGGGATTAGGTAAAGAATAAACAAAAATCCTCTGTTCTCATGCAGCTCTTAGCTTCATTGTCTGAATCTGAAGGGTTTTAAGATAGAAAAAAACCTGTGACTTTATAAAAAGATTTGATAACCTGTCCTCATCAGCATAGAAGCTCCCCAAAGCTTATGAGCCCTATGTTCGTGTCTGAAATCATAGGCAATGATTTTGACTATGTCACAGTATCAGGGTGGACCATGCAAGTAGGATGGTGATGTACTTACTGTGTTTTGAGAGGTAGTATGGAGACCCTATAACCCACAATATAGTATACTCCCAATATCAAAAACCACACCATTGGCTTTTGTGCTAAGCTTTACTCACTCTGCAATCCTATTTGAAAAGCAAATCCTCTGAATGTTGGAACACAAAAGGTTCCTAATACTTTAGTGGGGGACACAGAGACTTTGAAGGGATCCCAGAAATCCAGGAGCACAGAAGCACTGAGCATCTGGGACTGGGGAAATAGCAAAGGGGATTCTAGGAGTGTACTTAAGAGGAGGCAAAAATGCTGTGGGTCAACTGAACACTTAAAGCCAGCTCTGAGCTTCTTCCACAGTTAAATGAGCTAAAAAAAAAAAAAAAAAAGCCTTTATAGTGTTAATGGTGGGATACGATGATGCAGAACTAATAATGTATGAAGGCACTGGGAAGCATATGACTTACATGAAGTTATTCAACAATTATTAATTTACTAATTGTACTCTTGATCTCCTTCTGTGATTATTTATGAACACATAAGTTTCAGAGTGGTGCAGCACTTCTCTGAATATTTTCTGCAGTTGGATGTATCTAGTATGTGTTGTAAATGACACGGTACAAAGCATGTTTTATGGGTTAGAAGAAATAAGTGTATTCAGTAATGTGTTGAGGGATAGAGAATCCCCTGCTGATGTAGGGGACACACTATACAGTAGTTAAACACAACAACAATACTAACCAGATTTGGCTGTTTTTTATTACCACCATGTGCCAACAATTCTAAACAATGCTAGTGATAAAATAATCCCCCCCAAAACTATCTTTGGTTGATCTAAATTCTAAACAATTCCTCTGATTATTATTGTTGAGTTGAAATAAAACACATCAAAGTTTTAGTTAGCACAATTTGATAATTTATCCTTTAAGAAACATTAATTTAGAGAATTCCCAATTGTACAGTTAAGCTTCCACATATAAACTCTGCTGTACCCACTCCTTTCAGGAAAAACTAACTCTGAGAAACAATGAAACCTGCTTTGAAAGCAATTTTTATCTCCAAACTTTGTATTACATAATTCTGTTTTTAAACAGTATATCTGAAATTAACAACAGTGATTTTGAAGACGAAAAACAACCCAAGTTATTCTATGAAGTTTTTGTAATAAAGACAAGATAGCATGCCAACTCTATGGAGTATTGTTTTTGAGAAGTGCAGATTTTTAAAAAAATTTTTTAGTTGTAGATGAACACAATATCTTTATTTTTATTTATTTACTTTTATGTGGTGCTGAGGATTGAACCCAGGGCGAGGCAAGCGCTCTACCACTGAGCTACAACCCCAGCTCATGAGAAGTACAGATTTTATTTCAAACATCAAGTCTTACCAAATATGAATAATACTTCTATTTATTGTTAACCATTTGCTTTAAACTAAATATAATTCAAGAAAACAACGGTGCATTGGTGGTATAATTTATTTGTTTAAATTGTATCTACATTCTGCAAGATATTTTGGTTTATTAAAATACACAGCTGGAGTGGTTGTGGCTCAGTTGTACAGCGCTTGCCTAGCATGTGTGAGACACTGGGTTTGATTCTCAGCACCACATATAAATAAGTAAAATAAAGGTCCATTGACAATTAAAAAATATTTAAAAAAATACATACCTGGGCATGATGGTGCACATCTGTAATCCCAGCTACTTGAGAGGTTGAGGCAAGGAGGATTCCAAGCTTGAGACCAGCCTGGACAACTTATTGAGACCCTGTCACAAAATTAAAATTAAAAAAGAAAAAAACAGAGTCTAGGGATGCAGCTCAATGGTAGTGCACTTGCCTAGCATGTGCTAGACCCTGGTTTGATCCCCAGTACTGGGGGGAAAACAACCTCACTTACTGGTTAATGTAATGTTGTTATGCATTATTACAACAGACCAATATTTAGGTATAAACCCTCACTGAAGATACATTTGTATAATTTAAAATGGTCAGTTTTTTAAATTCTGTAATACATTCCTTTTTATTTTTTTAACCAGCATTATTATTATGAATACACACATATATATTCAGTAAAAAGCAATTTTCACTATCTACACATCTTTTTCTGGCCATCACACTTGTTCTTTTCATTACTACTGAAAATAATTTTGTTATGTGGAGGTTGACAGGTGTCAAATATTCTAGATGTGCCACTAATACCCTGATAGTACACTGAGATCTGCTAGGATCTCTACTAACTACTTGCAGCCTTGCAAATGTTTTGCACCTTGACTGGTTGATTTTTCTAGTGATTACTAAGCCAATGAGCTACATAAGACCAATTTGAGTTCCATTTTTAACTCCATTAAAAGATAAGAATTCTTATTATTATAATTACTTTGTCTTCACTGGTTAAATTAACATTCAGTTATTGGGGTTGCTGTGCAATATACAATATTATTTTACCTACTGTGTGTTCAAAGTAGTCTTGTCACAGAAACAGCATGCTAGCACGAGAAGCATTATAACAAATAGGTAAATACATGTCTTTTGTGAATTAAAAGGGGGGTAATTATGTCAACTGTACTGCATTTGTGGGTGAATAGCTAAAAATAATTGAAGTAAAAATGTCAGGAAATATTTAACATTAAGTACAAATAATCACAAGATTGTCATAAGAATGACAATGACCTGTAAAATAATTTTTAGTTTCCTTTGGTAGCGTCGTCAAATTAGAATAAGAAAACACATGTAAAAACACTTTTATTTTCTCTTCACTTTAAGCAGTCTCAGTCCTAGCCTATGCACTACAGGTACAATTGCTGTAATTTTCCTGTCAAAATAGATATTTGCTTTAAAAGATCCTCAAATTATTATTTTTATTTTTGTAATTTATCTTTATGCTTTGTACAAATAGAAACCAAATAAATCTTAATATTGAAAATATTTTGGCTCTCTAGAAACATGTAAAATTTTGCTGTATGGGGTATGCCTATTATTGAGATTCTTTTAAAAATAAACATACCAGAATCTGCAACTGATCTTTAGAGTAGTCTCTCTGGTTAACTACATAGTTTGCCAATCATTCTGACATTGTGCCAAATCTTTTATGGGCATTCCTTTCTTTGTTAATGGCCTTCAAGCCTTGTGGCATATTCTTTTATTTTTTGCAATGCTGGGGCTTGAACCTAGGGTCTCGCACTGAGTTACACCCTCAGCCCCAAACATTGGTGATTTCTTTAGCCTCATGAATATAAGGTGATTGATTAAGGTAAATAAAAGAGTTTTATTTAAAAAGAGGGAATTATAAAGTTCATTTTTCTTCTGCAGCTTCAAAATCAACTTTGCTGGCTTTTGCATAGAGAAGTCCCTTAGATACTCTTCTAGCTAAGAGCTTCATTGGAATCATCTCTAGAGAAGACATATTTGAAAGACAACATGTATTTGAAGACATGAAACGGTAGGACTGCTAATTATGTCCCCAACCCTTAATAGTCAAACAGATTCTAATGGCTTCTGATGTAAAGCAATGATTGGTGGCAGAACATGGCTGTTTTGGGGCAAGAATGAAACATATAATGTTAGAATTTACAAGGGAACTGGCTGACATAGACAGTTTTAGGATCATGTTACATTTTCTCCAACCTTTCTCTCTTAAATTTTGTTTGGAACATTATTCAGCAATGCAATGATATTATTTTGCAAAAATAATTATTTTCAGTCTTATTCCAAAAATAAAGGATATAGTGTTACAACATTAATAAACAGTATAATAGAATGCAGTAGGATAAAATAACTGAAGCAAGAGAAAAATAAGAATAGAAAAGTGAAAGCAATGCAAACTTATTAAACAAACAAGTATATAAAAAAGTTCTGCACACCTTTAATAAAAGAATTTCAGCTTTCAGTTTCCTAGTTACTAAAGCAGAGAGGAAAACGATGCTATAAGGATATGTATGTATGTGAATTCTAAGTGCTGGTTAGCTTACCTAGATGAAATATTAAACCTGACTTTGCTATTGACACAAACTTTTAATTTATTTGTGCAGCAGTAAAAAATGGGTTTTTAATCCTCGGTTTTCCTCTAGTTTACTAGAACATTACAAAAAATATGGATATACAAAGCTATAACCTATGTTCAGCTCATAAGGCATTAAAGGAAGTCCAACAATGAACTAGTGCTAACTTTGTACCATTCACTTGATATGCTAGCTCATTTAATTCAGGAACCAATCTTACTTTTTACAAATGAGGACTCTGGGTACAAGGTCTCCTTAAAGACAAATGGCATTTGGACTGTACTATGCCTAACCATAGAGCCACAGTATATTCTCCACTGATAACACTACTTACTAACTCCTCCTAGGATTTCCTGAAAACTATCTTAAGTAGAATATAAGAGTTACCTATTTTAAATTCTCTAAACATCAAACTTTGATTTTCATTAAGGCCCAAGACTACTTTTGTGCACTGAGTTTCATCCTTTGTATTTAGCCATTTACCACCTGAATTATTATTTACTCAATATTTTTTCTTTATATGAAATCAACTCAAAATATAAGGATTTCATATTATTATTAAAAATATAAAGCCAGTATGCCTGCCAGAGAGAAAAATAAAATATGAAGAGAAATAATTATCAAAAAATGTGAGTACACACAGCTCCTACAAAGCTCTCAGGCACCAACTGTACGTTCCAGGGCAGCAGGGGAGAGGACAAGGGGGACTCTTCTATGTCAGACCTAAAGTCAGGAAGCTCCTTGGGTGGAAGAGAATGGTTTTCAGTGGCAGTTCCTGAGGGTCACAGTTAAGCCACAATATCACATGATGCCCTTTCTCACATTCAGACAACAGAGAAACTTGGCACTGTGGCAGAGAGACAGCCCTAGAGAACATGAAGGAATATGTTTACTGCCTTAAGAAATCTGTAGTTGCTGCCAGAAGTAACTTATTCAATAGTACTAATTTGGGCAAAAGTGCTCATAGAATAAAATAAAATGTTCCTTTACTCTGAGAATAATTTTCTACTTTTTTTGGCATTAGTAAGATATAAATGCCCTTGTTATGAAAATTCAGATTTTCAGAAGGTAAATTTGACAATTCAAATAATGTTACATCAAATCAATAAATCAAGCAATCTGATATTTTGAAAAATTGTCAAATAATTTAAAAATTATTTTTTATAAAAAAAGCAAGAAACCCCAAAAGTAATAGCTGGTACCTTGAAGCATTTCTATATCTTTCAGATTGTAAATTCTGGGGAAAGCAAGCACAGCCTACCTAATTTTACATTTTTTTCCCCCCAGATATCCAACTCAGGTTTAATTGGTGATTCATCTTAAGAACAGATGATTTCCACACTAGCAATAAACACACAATAAACAAATAAAATTTGTTCAATGTTCCTGTAGACAAATTTTATTTTCACTCAACCCTACTTTTGGTAGAATATGACTATTTTTCTAATGTGTGAATTTTGAGTCAGTGTCTCCCCATGAATAATGAAATGTTAAACTTAAGCAAACTTTACAACATCTACACCCACTCTATTCTACAGTCATTTTATTTACTCCAAGGACCCATGGAAGCAACTGAGTAGGTAGGTGTTTCTATAATATAACAGCTGAACATTCAAAATCAGAGGCAAATAGGCAATTAATGTAATTTTGAAATCTAAAGGCATAGCCACCTAATTATAGTCAGTTCTACGAAAAGGCCATTATAAATCTTCAATATAGAAAGGAATGAACACCAAATATCTTTGCACTTAGAACTTGGTATCTTTCAATACTCATAGAAACCCCAAGGAACTGGGAGGAAACCAAAGACCACAAAGGTTAAGTACTTCTCTGAGACCACCCAGCTTGTAAACATCGAGCTGGGATTTGAAACCAGGCCTGTGTGAACTTCAAAGACTATTATTTTCTCTTTACCACTCTGCTTGTATGGTTAATGGAAATGTTAAAATAATCACTTTGAGGTTGGGAATATAGTCAATGGTAGAGTGCTTGTCCAGCATGTGTGAGGCCCTAGGTTCTATCCCTACCCCTGCAACAAACAAACAGAACAAAGTAATCACCTGATTTCTTAGATACTGGCAAATCCAATTCATTTCATCAGTATATAGGGATCAAGGAAAGCTGTGCTTTATTGGATGAAGGGAATCATAGCCTATCAGGTTGATACCAACCCCAAACAAGTTTTACTGTGGTAAATAATGGGGAGCTTACAAAGCTGTAGTACATCGAGTCCCAGAAAAGAATTTCTAAGATGGGAGTGCCAAATGTTTTAAGATTCACTGAAGCATGATTGGAAGCAATGTGTCCTGGGATGGGCAGCCCCAGCAGCTGCAGTTTAACAGGTTGGGCCAAGGCTGTCTAGTGTGTATAAAGAGCAGTCACAATGGCAAGAAATTCTCTGAATAGTGCTAGAGATGGCAATTGCAGGGCAGATTTCACTGGTGCAGAATGCGAATTGAACCACTATTTGAGCAATCAAATTTTTATACACACATGCAAAAACCAAAATCACTTACTTAAACATCACTGATTTGTTTTAGGTGGGAGGACAATCTGCTTTGTATTGTACCTAACATTTTGCTACTTCATTAAATCAACACTAAGTTTCCTTTGTGTTTCTGGTGGCACTGGGAATACAAAAAAAAATGTGAAGATGACTGTGATAGCCAAGTTCAAAATTTTGGGTGGGAGTTAAAGATTTGCATACTAATATGAATCCATCTGAGGCTGTTACTCTACAGAATTTATATTTTTCTTGTTTTCTTACACACACATGGATATCTCTAAGTGTGTCTATCTATACTCGAAGGAAACAGGCAAAGACAAAAAATAGTCCCAAATTTTGAATATGTTCTAAGGGAGTTGTTATAGTGGATGTGAACACCCTAATAAAATTTAGCATGTCAATTAATTCAATATACATTATCATATCAATGGGTTATATTAATATTTTCTCATGTATATTTTCCTTATAGTTCTATATATACACCATTATATCTTCTTCATTACTAGTGAAGAGGTAAATATACTAGCACATGTGAACACACAAAATTCACTCAGAATTAGCGAGGGAGGTAAATGGTGGAGATAGTAGGGGAATGCATATTCACTATGTAGGAATATTTTTGTATTTGTCACTAAGTTAAATATACTTGCTTTCCTTAGAAATATATATTCTTCTTATATATCCAAACCCCGAATATTTGGAGGCAAAAAGGTTTTGCGTAAACATAACCTCTTTTGTTGTTCTGTTACACCAGATGTTCAGCTTTCTGTGATTCTGTTTGTCAGTGGTATCTATAGATATGTTGCCCTGAGATGTCCTTCATCTACTTGGTGTAAAGCTTCAATCATCACCTCTTTGGACAGTTTGTGTATTAATGAAGAGAAGTAGTTTTCCATTATTACAATGCCAATACACTGCAGAAGTTATATAATATATTGTTCAAAATTTGGGACTATTTTTTGTCTTTGTGTCTAGTTCTGGAGTGGTATATAATAATAACACAACAAAAGTATAACATCATGAATTTTTAATGACTAAATTAAGACCTCCATTTCAACTAGATCAGCAGTTTTAATTCTAAGCCATAACTTATGTTTGTGTTTGGGCCTTCTATATTAAATACTATAAGTGGCATGTGCTCTTTAAATATGCATAAGGGAATTAATTTATTTTTGATTAATTTATCACTAGCATTATGCCCTTAATAGGTATTAAGGGCATATTGCTAGTGATAAATTAATCAAAAATTCTCTGGGCTGGGAGTATAGCTCAGTGGTAGAGCACATGCTTAGCATGTGCAAGGCCCTGCGTTTGATTCTCAGCACTCCCCTACCCCCACTAAAACAAACAAACAAACAGAACAACAACAAAATCCAAACTGATTAATATCAGTTAAGAAGGTATAAACATTGTTGACCACTTCGACTGGTTATTGCCTTAGCAAAAGCAGAGGACTGGCATGTACTTTTAGATTCAAAAAAGATTTTTCTTAGATGATTATGGATAAAGAAATATTTTTTATTGATTCTGGACATCAAAATAATAAATATAAGATGCCCTGAAATTACATTATAGAAATGGCATATACTTAAATATCTGATTAGGAAGTTCTTAAGAATTTATAGTGTGGGATAATCTTTGGTAACTGTGATAAGCAGTTGAAATAAAGAAGACTGACAACTTGTCCCATGGTGAATACAAGAAAATAGTTTCTCAAAAATTAGTTCATAAGGGAATTCAGAACACTTATATTCAATAATACCTGAGATTAATTTTTTTTGTACTGGGGGCTGCTGGTCAATAAAAATAAAGTACTTTAATTCCTGTTAAGTACCACGCTTCTACTATTTCTAAAATATAAAAATGATTTCAATGGATCTCTTTAGAAAGATAAAAACTAAAATTCTTTCTAGGTTTTTAATTACTTTCCTGTTTTCTCAGTATAAATAATAAAGATCTATTAAACTTTTAAGGGCTGGGGATGTGCCTCAAGTGGTAGCACGCCCGCCTGGCATGCGTGTGGCCCGGGTTCGATCCTCAGCACCACATAAAAATGAAATAAAGATGTTGTGTCCACCGAAAACTAAATATATATATATATATATATATATATATATATATATATATATATATATATATATATATATATATATATATATATATATATTTAAAAAAAAGCTTTTAAATGTCAGATGGGCAGGCTTGTTAGTAACTATCTTTTCCACTCTCAATTTAATCTTTTTGAGGTAGATTAAGGTAATTGTAGCTCTCAAAAGTTATGACCCTAATCAGATATCTTTTTAATGCACATATTATATACTCAATTGGACACTAGTCAGTAATTTCACAATTGCTTTTAGTTTTTGTGATTCTTAGCATATTAAGGAATAGGATTATTTCTTATGCATTGTAGATCCTGGGAGGAAAGTTACACAAAGGATGTAGAAGTAACTGGAAGGTATATTCAAGAAAAATTCAAAGAAATGAATGTTTTTAAAAAATTGGTTCAATTTCTAGAGAAAAAAAATCTTTAGAGGGGCTGGGGATATGGCTCAAGTGGTAACGCTCTCGCCTGGCATGCATGCGGCCCAGGATCGATCCTCTGCACCACATACAAACAAAGATGTTGTGTCCGCCGAAAACTAAAAAAAAAAAAATTAAAAAAATTAAAAAAATATCTTTAGAAGAGAAAGCACTATTTAGTTTGAAACTTAAAATATTTTGGAGATAGTTGAAAAACAAGTTTAAGGCACTTATTTAAAGTGTACAAGTGACTCATTTTTATTATTACTCATGCACTATCATAGTCTGGAGAGCAGCAGGTTGCTTGAAGATGCCACAAATATTCTTTGAACACTTCAATAAACACAATGTAAACACTCACTTTAATAATGTTTCCTTTGTCAACCAAAACTGAGTGCATTTTTTCCCTGCCCCAGGCTGAGCCATGACTAGCTGTGTAGCAACAGCAGAGTGCTAAAAGAATTTTTCAACAGTAATTTGCTTGTTCTAATTTACTTTTCAAGGTTGATGATCAGAATCATTACGCTGCTTGCAAAAAGATCTATTTCTATTAATTTGATCCAGTCATTCCTCTTGTTCTCATCATATTTAGTTTCCCTGGCAGCTTCACCAAGTAAGTTAATTGAATCAGAAGTGCCACCAGCACTCCAGTTCTAGTTTCATATACAAATGAATTTCTATGTCCTTTAGAAACAAATCTGCTACTCCCATTGAGAAAGTATGGGTTTCACAGACATGAATGACTCAGGTACTTCCACACTATGGCGATGAAAATGTTGCTTTTTGCTCTTCAAATATAAATATTCTTTCTAGTTGGTGGACAATAATACCAACAATAATATTGAAGTGCTATCTGTTCAATCCTTTTAAAAAAATAAGATATTTTAAGATGTTTTTTTAAGCCTGAACACAAACATCACTCATAAACCCAATCAAGAAACTGAAGTCTCACATAATTTTACATGATGCATGTGGACAAAGCAAGGCTTATTCCAATGTACACTATTCCAAATGCAACAAGAAATAAACTAGCCTCAAAATCTTTAAAACATTTCAAAGTACCTAAATGTTTTCCCAATCTTCTTTCTGTGAGAGAATGTGTTATCATCAAATATTTATAGGACCCTAGTTAAGTGACATGGAAAGCTCACAAGAATCACATTTACACTAAACACAACAAAACATGTACAGAAAAGAAACTCCTCCTTCAATCACTGGCAAATTAAGGGTTAACAATATAAATTGGATCATGCTTGCTTTGAGATTAGACATAATGGGCTCTGCAATTTTGAAAGGGAAAAAAATCACAGGCTCAAAAATAGACATAGTCATTAATTATCTCTTTATAACCTGCAGAGGGCACTCAAGTCCCTTGAAGGAAAAGGTAAACATTTTAAGAGGGATAATAATAATTTGAACATTTTCATCATTATGTATTTACTAAATAATTTTTAGAGAAACCATCATTTAAAAGAAGGTCATATAAAGGAAGCATACAGTTTGACTTTAAAATTTTTTTAAAAATTTTTTCTAGTTGTAGATGGACAGAATGGCTTTGTTTTATTTTTACATGGTTCTGAGGCTTGAACCCAGTGCTTCATGAATGCTAGGCAAGCGCTGAGCCTGAGCCACAGCCCCAGCATTTAAATGTTTAATGCATTATTCAACATGCAGATTTTCACTTCCTACTGGAAAAATGGCAGCAGGTAGTTTCCATTCGTGCACATTCATCAATCTGTAAATGCTTGTGCATGTGTTCTGCCACTACACTGACGTCAATTACATAGATTAGCCAGGTCCTTAGAGAAATCAACCTGGATTCCAAAGTAACCTGCTTACAAGGCAGGACACCAGTGAGATACTCATGCCAATTTTTTTGCTCCAAGCAATATGTGGACAATAATATTAACTCTATAAAACAGTTGATGAGGAAAATTAGAAGCTAGTTGAAAAGCTTTTAGCTCTTAAGAGTTTTAACCAATTTGTAAGACTAATCTCATGAGATCCTTGACAATTTTCATTTTAATGAAATTTTAGTTAATTAATGAAATCCCTTCATTAATTAACTAAAATTGTGTTTGGGAAGATATTTAGATATTTTACTTTAAAATATGTTTCTTCTTCTGACATAACATTGAAATGTTTCACAGGGAAACCTGCCAACTCAGACACACTAGCATTGAATGCATTATATAAATACATACACTCATACATATATGTGTACATAAATATATTCTATGAAGGCATATTTTAAAATACACTGCAACGTTTTATTAACTAGATACTTAGAGCATGAAATAGTTAATTATTAAAAACACTTGTTTCTCAGAAACAAAGCCATGGGATCCTGTATTCCTAATGCCATCTTATTATTTTTTCTGATCCCCAATTTTGTTGTGATTCAATAACTTGCTACCAAAAGGTATTTAGAAACTGGTTATTAAATTGAAACTAGAGAAGGTTGGTTTGGCATAAACTTAGATATAGTTTTTTTTTCTTGCATCATTGCAATTTATAAATTAGAACACAAAAAGGTTTAAACCAAAAAAAAAAAAAAGTGTTAAGAAGCGGTCTGAACACAACTTGTGTTGCAAATTGCTATTAGGATGATGAGCAATTATAAAACATTTCTAAAACTGCTTTATTTATAAAAAGAAAATTTATCATTAGTAAAAATTTAATCCTTAAAAATAAATTTGTTACAAAATACATAAATACATTTAAAGGTCTTGTAATATACTTCGATAAATCCTCTAATTTAACATCTTGCAAAAAAATACTAATGTTAATAATAATTTAAAAAAGTGAATTGAGAAACATAGCATGAAAAATCTTGACACTTTTTTGTCAAATTTCAGAGAATATTTCAAAGTTTACATTTATGAGAGAAGAGGTGTCCAGAAAAATGAGAAAAAGGCAGAAAACATTTAAAATAATTAATATATAGTATTTTGGCAATATTATTTACCTTTCTTTTTGAAAAAATCATTCTGAAAATGAATGCAATTTTTTAAATGGGAATATAACAAACTCTCCTAAAAGAAGAAAAATTTAATAAGGATAGCTTTCAAATCAGCAGTCTTAAGATGGATCTATGTATTACAACGTTTTCCCCAACTGGATTTCTTCACCACATACCATGACATTTTCTAGTGGCGGTGGAGGTGATGGGAGGGGTGAGAAACTATGCAGTTTAAGGAAAAAGAAGCATTTTCCTAACTGCAGTTGTAGCCACTCCTTTGATTTTTAAGTTATCTCAGGGCCAGTAAGTATACACTCTTAATACATGAAACAAAATAAAAAGCTATACTTGGAATGTATTCTTTGTTTCTTCTTTCTTCAAAGCCTATGCTTCCTAATATCATTGTTAGGTAAAGCAAAAAGAAATGTTTGTTCTATTACGTAAGAAATAAACTTCATTTGGTATTCAATTGACTTTCTAACTTAGCAGACAGGACTTTACATCTTCAAATACTGAAAATAAATTGCATTCTTGGCCCTTGCTTTAAAAGGTTATAGAGAATAAACGCACACCCTGGTAGTGTTCTAGTGATCTCCCTAATCTCAGTTGCACTTTGTCAGAACGAGGTAACTGGTAGTTAAGTGAAATACCCTAGATCAAAGGGGGATTAATCACCAACTGAATCCTTGCTGAATAAACCTGTCATTCAAGAAAATTATTTCCACTGAACTTAGCAGAGGATTGAAGGTATTTGCATAACAGGGACCAACGTACTTCAGCCAGGTTAAAAGGTTCAGAATTCATCCCATGTTTAGCTTTTTGCCTCCTTTTCCTTTCAGCAGCCTGGTACAATGGTTTCTAATCTGATAATACAGCTAACTATCTAAATGATGTCAGAACAGGAAAGTATTGCAAAGTTTGGATGAGGGATGGATCAATTTCACTTTCAGTAACTCCTAAATCTGATTTGTTGGAATTTAAGATGTAATCCTAAAAAAGTCCCTTAAACCTGAGGACTGTTTATTAACATCCCTTTTTTGACCTTTGTCTTAGGAACAACTATTCTGCTGTGGCAGCAGTCCCTGAAGGTTTTGGATAATTCCACCTACCTACTTCCCAGTGGTAGCAGAGAAATCTATGAATGTATATGAAGTATTAAAAATACTAGAACCAAAATGAGAAGACAAATATTAACACTTTTTTACTATGCACAATGTCTGCTGTTAAAAATCTTAAATCACACAATGTATAAAACTATAATAATTTAAATATAGTGGAAGTATTGAGTCGTCATGAAAAATTTTAAATATTTTATTAGGCAGAAAGTTTAATAAAAATAATAAAACATTCTCATAAGAATTCCTGATGAGCCTATTTACTTCAAACTTGAGTTGATTATTTTAAAAGTATAAAATACCACCAGGATATTGCCTAACTTCAATATTGCTGACTTTAAAAAGTTTTAAAATATTGTTTAGTAAGAAAAGTTTTTACCAGAATCACGAACCATCTTTTCTGGAGTTCATTTTCAGAAATTTAGCTATTTTTCCTTTTGCCTTTGGGATTTAGGGAAGAATAATTACCCATATGATAGACATCAGATTTCGTAATCATATTTTGGCACTAAAAGGGAATTTAGAAATTTTCTATCTAGAGCAGGACTGACACCATCCAAATCTTTCACTAGAAGTAGTTGCTCATATTCACTGCAAATGCAAAGCATCTTTCGAGTTAAAAAATGCAAAGAATAGTTATCAAAGAAAATGAATAAAATCCGTAGTGAGATAATTTTTTAGAAAATGATTGAAGTTTTAACCCAAGAAAGGACTCTTAGAGTGTCTTATAGCTTAGAATAAGAACATGTCAATCACGATTAAGCTTCTGGAATCGGAATCCCTTTGAAATGCAGCTGTTTCTTCTTTAATTGTGGCAGAGGACTCTGAAGAAAAGAAAGGTCCAGCCTTAAAGATGAGTAAGGAATACAAAATAGCTCAGGATTAGTTGCGGAGTTCAAAGGTCGCTAATTACACTAAGGAGTTCCCAGACACAGGGAAAACATTAAACAGGTCACCTACCAAACGGGAAACAGACTTTGTCTTCAGAAATTATCCTGAAGTGACAGGTTCCTAGACAAAATCAAAAGCATCATAGTGTGCCCAGCTGATCTTGAAGGGATGAAAACATGAGTTGGTTTAGTTCTGTAGTCTTGCTGGAATGGAATGGCAACAGATGGCATGGGGTTCTCCATCATCTCTATACTTTTCCAGTACTCCTCAGATTTTCCTTAGTTTTCTATAAATGTCAAATCAAAGTCTATTGGTTTTTCTAATTTGTTCACGAAGAAAGTTTTGCTTAAGGAATTATTATGTTGAATCTCTGCCTACTCACTAGATAAATGCCTCTTGCCTACCTTAGTGTACTTTGCTAATAAGAATTTGAATAATTGAAATTTCCAAATGGCTCTATTAACACAAGTACAACATTAAGCCTTGAGTTGAAGAGACATAAATAACTTATGGGGAAATGTTCTTTCAAAAGGAAAGTTTTTACTACTGATTATCTATGATTAAGCTACAATAATAAGTTAAAGTCCTGGTCAGACAGTTATTCTTCTTTGTTACTTGGGATAATTTTGAACATAGAACTTTATGTATGATAATGCTTTGCAGAAAATGAGGGTTTATAATGAGTAGGATTGACCTTAATTAAAAAATCAAACTTCAAATCCTAAGTTCATATGCACTATCCCTTCAAATTATTATAGCTCTCTTTTGAGGAGTTAGCAGCTTTTTCTAAGCCTTTTCTGAGAAGATTCATTAAAAAACAGAACCCAGAATATAGTTGAATTGAATATTAATCTGTAATGCATATTTTTTATAATGCTTTTAAATTCTATTCTGTAAAAGAACTTTGACATGAACTAAGTTCTTAGGATCTTGAGATTACTTTTTTCTTGGTCATTTGGAGTCCAACTTGACAATGAACTGCTCTGAAAACAGAATGTCACATCTAATTATAGAAACAGGTAGAGAATAAAGAATATGGCTAATGGTTTCTGAAAAAATAAAAAAAATTATAATAAGAAAATGAGAAAGACAAATTTAAAGAAAATACACTATTATGTAAGACCAAGAGTAAATAATACTCTACCCACAGAAAGGTTTTTGAGTTTTTACATGAATTTATTCATTAATGGATTTTAATTTAGTAAAATAAGGAAAAAGCAATATTATATCTACCTTTATTTTCAGAAATTGGCTGAAGACATTATATAATTGCAAAACATTACATTATTCTGCAGGTATCCCACCCATCTTTATTTTTTAAAATATACTTATAGACATCCTAAGCAAAATGTTATTATGGCAGATTAACAAGCTTACTTAAAAATAAACTCTAGAACAGGGATAAATAGAATTATGCAGATTCTTTATTAGTCAATGGGATAGTTCTGATTAACAACAGGTTACTATTTAAGCAAGTCTCCTTTGTCTACATTGGCTGATTTTTCAAGAGATTTATAGTTGTTTATAATTTGGTTGCTGATATTCTATACCAGCACAATGTACTGGGAGATAAGTTTTTTTTTTTTTTTTTTTTTTTGTACTGGGGATCAAACCCAGGGACACTCTACTACTGAGCTACATCCCCATTCTGTTTTATTTTAAGACAGAGTTGCTCTAGATTGCCAAGACTGGACTCAAACTCATGATCCTCTTGCCTCAGTCTCTCAAGTCTTTGGGATTACAGGTGAGTCCCACCATGCCTGGCTTAGTACATAGGTTTGAAAGAACAAATAGTTATCTTACATGTCAGGTACAAACCATTGGAATGGCTGCCTGAAGCTCTGCACTGAGAAGCCTGAGCTCTTACCCAGGAAGGCTCACAGTAGGAAGAGGGTTGTGATTGATTAGCAGTTATCTGCTATAGGGGTGGGAAGGAACATGTACAGCATGTTGACCCAGGATGAGTCTTCAATAAGTCAGAGTGAATCACGAATTCTTTGTATTCTGAATCACAGTGACAGAAAACGAAAGGGTAACAAACACAGGAGATATTAGCCTTTACAACAATAATATTATATAACAATAATGATATACTATAATATAATATATAATTATATATTAATGCTATGATATATAACATAATATGCAATATATTATAATAATGTTATATGACAAAAATATCATAATATATTATGACATTCTTTCAAACTATATCAGATTAAAAAATTTCAAGTATGAATATTTTATAATTAAAATCCTTCAGATTTTTTCACTTACAGGTTATATGAATACACAATAGATATAAAAACTATGATTTCATTTATGCTGTGTTACTATTGTATAAATCCCATTTAAATATTAAAAAAATCACAGTAATAATGATCCATAGGTTACTGGAGCAGGGGCTTTAGAATTCCAGATGTAATAATCAGAAGACACTAGTTTCCGGTCTAAAAAAGGAAAAAAAATAAATAAACAAAAAAATAAACTATTTCATCTTAGCAAAAAAACAGGAGAGCAAAGTCATGATTTTTTTGACATTGTTCAGTGCAATCATTTCATGGCAATCCTTTGAAATATTCATTTTAATTTTATTTTATCAAGGCTTTATTATTAATTTTTACCACTTAAAAAATGTAAGCTCTTTAAATCTTTGAACAATCCATCTTTAAGCTTACATAAAATATCTCTTATTGATGCCAAGTCTGTAAATTTTTTCCTCACATTTCTCCTAAATACTATTTCTTATGAATCATTAATTGTAAAATATTTAATTTTTTTGTTGGTTTCCCTTCTCTAACTTCTTCACCACTGTCCTGATTCTGGTCATCTTATTCTTTATTAATTCAAAGTGTCAAAGATGTAAACCAACAATCAACTTTCTAGCAACATGATAAAAAAAGTGGCTTTGCTGGGTTTTCATTATAGTTCTGATCAAATGTAAATAGCTTTGCAACTTTAGTGAAATGGCAATCTCTTTGAACTAAACTTTGCTGATATGTGGAATTGAGATAGTAATGCTTCTTTGGATTTAGTCTCAGGCAAATTATTATTATTGTGTATATGTATATCACTAATTATTTAATTCAGCCTTTTCTACCTTTCTTCTTAATAATGCAAAGAATAGTTTGATCCTCATTTCTGCCATCATTACTAGCTACGTGACCCTCTGTTTCATCAGTGTCCTTATCTGTAAAATGGAGATAACTCTATATAGGATGCTGTGAGGAGTAATGAGTTAGTACACATAAAATAGAAACTATGCTGAGCACCTAGTAAATAAAAAATATTAGCTATTAATGAAATTAGCATTATTACTATACTATTTTCAGAACAAAGCTGTTAATTGTGAATATAGACTTTATTGCCAAGATGATGGCAAAATAAAGATTTCACATGGCTGCACAATTTGGCTGTCACTGTCTGAAATAACCAGAGTTAGGAAATAAAGACTAGTTGTAATGATCCATTTAAAATGAGCTCTTTCAATATTTTGCATTAATAAGCAGGTGTATTAGTGAAACTTATTCTGTATTATGCTCTCTGAATATTACATGTTTAGTTAATCCTGACAAAATACTTAAAATGTTCTAATTATTAAAAGACAATATATTTCTCATAAATATTTTAAAACATCGGTCTATTTGTACTTAGGCAAAGATACTGGTTGTCCAATATTATGCTTTCATAAAACATAAATGCACTATGAATACTCTTCTATGAATTCATTTAAAAAATACAAACAACAACAAAACTGATGAAAAAATGAGGGAAACGCCAGGGAGGTGAGAAATGAGCTTTTTCTGGTTTTACTAGATAGAATATGTTTCTGAAATTCACAAGAAATTGCTTAGATTCCATAGTTCCAAGTTCTTTAATTCTTTTGAAATATTCAAATACAAAGTCTTGTCCTATTCTTTTTATTTTAGGGACCTTAATTCTTAGTTTAAAAAATATTTATTTAAATACAGAAATAATTTTTATAAATTAGCATCATTGTTATCTAAATATATACATATAATAGCTTTATTCTCCTCAATTTATAAGGCAAAAGGTTCTCCTTAACTTTATCTAATTATACCTCATTCTAGCTACTTTTCTATATCAGCCATGTGTATTTGATCTGAATGAAATAATTTTGAATTCATTTATAAATTTCTTTTTGTCTAGCTATGTTTTCATATAAAGTATACATATATGTATGTATAAGATATATATACATATATATATTTCACAACCAGTAAATCCATTGAAGACAGGAAATCATCTTTACAACTTGCCTAGTGGTAGACTAGAGAAGGTGGGAAATAGTGTTTATTGATTATAATATTTGCTAAAAATTACTTAAGTTTTTAAGTAATAATCATACTTACCATCTATTGAATCTATATTATATGCTAAGGCTTGATCAGTATAATCTTACTTAAAGCTCATAACAATTCTAAGGTAATTTATTTCCACTTTAAAGATAAGAAAACGAAAACGTCAGAAAGTTCATTGAAGCAACACAGTCAATAAAATGTTGGAGCCATAGCCTGAATCCTTGTTTGTCCAATACCAAAGTATATAACCTTGTGAACCACCTTTAAATAAGAGTTTATTATAACCAGAACAAAGCAAATCTAATTTTATACTAAAGCCCATCCCATCTTAATCCTTGCTATTCCAGATTCTATTTTAAACTGGAAAAGACTGAGGGCCATACAAAGTTCACAAAGTGTTACGCTGGGGTGGATAAAGTCAAAATTTTTACAAATTGGGATTATTCTCCAATTTCTAAATTCTGTTATATTTTAATTTTACCTTAGGTAATAACAACACACCACCATTTAAATCTCATTAAGTTAGTTTGAATCTGTACAACTTACATGAACTTATTTTTGGTTTTCCTGATGCGAAAACTTGAACTGAATGTTGATCCACATAACATCCGGTGAGTGTGTAATCTAAGATGCTAAAATGAAGCTAGGAAGAGAAATGTACTAAACTGAAGTGATTAGTTGGTAAAAATGATGATCACATTTTTTTCTCTTGATATGACTTTAAAAAATTCATCTCACACAGTTCATAAAATAAAAATCATAAAATATTGAACTTCAATTATGAGTATACATATGTTTAAATATGTACACACATACTCTCTTTCCTTTGCTCTGAAGCCATTTCTTTGTAAGTCTTCCATTATAAAGTGCTTAACACAAACCAGGCACTTCACCAATATGGACTCTAATCCATACAGTATCATTTTACAAATAAGGGAACTGAGGTTCTGAGATGAAAGCAATTAATATCCCAATATGTAAGCAGCAGAACTGGCATCTGACCTCAGACACGGCTGACTACAAAAGCAGATGTTCCTTCTGCTAGGTTGTCTAGTAAACTACATACTCTCTTCTATCCCAAGGGCTATGTGATTGTGATATATTTTACATCATAATTCTTTTATAGGTGGGAATATATATACCTTTTAGTGAAATAAGAATGTAATTACTAAAACAGAAACATTAGCTTATCTGGTCTTTGGAGAGAATGAGCTGCACTACTTAATTTTCTAAGAAACTGAAATTTAACTCTTACAGAATTGAGCTTAGAAATTTTCCCTTCCCTCACATAAAAAAACTTACAAAATGTAATCAATAGTTCCTAATTTCATTGATAATGTGAGGTTATCACTGTAAATGCCAATTATTATACTGTACTATAATAGAGTGAGGCAGTAGCTTCTTTGAAGATATGATGCCTGAATCAAAATCACATTCACAGAAAAAGGTTTATATCTTACATAGTTCTAGTCTCCTTTTGCTGTGGTTCTCTTCATCTCTGCTGTTAAATGACCCTGATTTTGCAATACCATGTTATCTTTTCTATGCTTTTATTTTTGGCAGTGCTGGGGATCAAACCCAGGATCTCATGTGTGATAGGCAAAAGCTCTACCTTATATTGATTTTTTTTCCTTTCTTGCCTGTAAATTTCTCCCATTTTTCAAGTTTCTTCTTTAATTGCTAAACTTACTGATCACATGCATATGATGTTATTTTTAAATCTTAACATATTATTCCTGCTGCAACTCAAATAATTTTTTATATGTATTTTTTAGTTGTAATTGAACACAATATCTCTATTTTAATAATTTATTTATGTGGTGCTGAGGATCGATCCCAGGGCCTCTCACGTGCGAGGTGAGCGCTCTATCACTGAGCCACAACCCCAGCCCCTCAAATAATTTTTGATAGTACGGGGTTTATGCTTGCTTGTTCAGTGTAATTCTGAATGCTGGAAGTTATTTATGACAAGGTTGACTTCCACACGACTAAGATAACATAAAACACATTCAGTTCGTTCACTGAAAATAAATATGAATTGGAAAGTGGTTAAGTGATGGAAATTAACAGAAAAATGATAATATCTACCTTTGAAGAACATGCAATGTGGTAATACCCCACATATTTTTTTCTGAAAAATTAGGACCTTTTATAATAATCTTTGAAACAATGCTAATAGATGTAGTTGAAGACAACATGGGGAAAAAAACCCAAATTATTGCCAATATTTTTCTGATTTCATCACCAATTCCTCTAATTGCCTTTATGGTCAGATTTCAATCTCCTTTGATAGCATTTTACTTTCTTGTTACCTTTTTAATCACCCCATTAATTTTCCTCAATGGTTTTTCTGAATCTTTACCATTTTTCTTATTTTTTTCTGATCTTAATCATTTCCACTACTTCAACTATTTCTTCTCTGTAGGTAACTCCTAAATCCTTATATGCAGCTGAGCTTTTCCTTGAGAAATCAAGTTTTAGGTTTTTAGCTATCCACTGGACACTTGAATTAAGATATGTTGCTATTATCCAGTATCATATATATAAAGCTCACTCTTTCCCAATGTTTTCAATATCAATACTTTAATTCATGTATATTCACCCATTCAGAAATATTTATTGGTAGATAATGGATTAGGTCTTAGGGATAAAACAATGGATAAATGAAATTCATATCGTCACTGCCCTCTTGAAGGTTCAAGTCTGGTTTAAATGACATACTTTTTTGAATAACACCATCTTTTTAAAAAAATTTTTTTCTTAGTTGTTGATAGATCTTTATTTATTTTTTAAATTTATTTATACGTGGTGCTGAGAATTGAACCCAATGCCTCACACATGCCAGGCAAGTGAGCTACCACTGAGCCACAGTCCCAGCCCATAACACCATCTTTTGACTTGTTATTTTTTTCTTGTCTCTATATTAGTGACTGAGATTTTACAATCAGTATGGCTTAGAGTAGCCCATTCTTTTTCTTTCTACTGATACAACACTAGTTCAACATCAACTTAGTACCTTTCATGTGCCACATTAATGTAACTATAAAATATTTTTGATGTCCTTATTTTTTCTCACTTATTTCCTTCACATTCATTGCAGATTAATATTCACAAAGTATCACTTTGTACAAACCACTCCTCTATTAAAAAAAATATCCAAAGTTTTTATAAAAGAGTCACACCTTCTACATTTCAAACCTAAATTATGCAGTCAGTCTTATACAGTATGACACTTTTTAGCACTTGATCCTAAGTGTGTCTTGCTTATTCTTCACCCCTTTAAGTCTTTTTAAATTAAATAAATACAGTCAATCTTCAAGTTTCCTTATTCATGCTTAACTAGGCCTCAGAGTTTGCTTTAACTCTACTTTCCCTTGACCACCTTGGCCAGAAAGGCTCACTTCTTCCTTCAAACACCAAAAGCAGTTAATTGATGTGCATTATTGAAAAATCCATAGAGAGTAAAGACTATATTTGACATTTTTCATGAATAAATTTTTAATTTGATGATTAAATGCTGGGTAGTTTAAGTTGGGTTATTTAGATGTATTTAATGATCTTAGTTAAGTTGGGGTATTTAAGTATATTTAATGTTCTCCCTTAAAATTTATATTAATCAAAATAGAAAAATGACTAGTACTAACCAAAAAGAATAAAACAGAATCTAAAAAAAGCACTTAGGCAGTCAAAAAGCACAGAATTAAAAACAATTTGCTGTAAAACACTAAAAATCAATTAGGTAAATGCAATTTAGAAACAAAGGAAGAAGTTCTGATGTAGTGAATCATGCAAATATGTTTACCTTTACATATGCTGTATCTCCAATACAAATCTGGTCAAATGGTTGTTTGTCATGGCTCTTGGCTCCAAAGGTTATAGTTCCAGAAAGACTAATTTCCATTGATTTGGGGAACTTCTGGCCTAAAAACACAAATTAACTATTTTAAAAAAAGTAGAGCCTATAGCAAATGAAAGGGAAAAAAGATCAACAAACAAAATCTTGCTCACCAATAATCCAGATCAGTAAGCTTTTCTCTCGAAATACTTCAAGCTGGCCAAAACTAACTTTGTATTCTAATTGTGTAATTGGACCTCTTTACAAAGAGAAAATAGAAAAAAAAATGATCACAAATATAACAGCTTTAAATCAAATCTTGTTACAGTTACTTAATACAAAGACAGCAAAAAGGCAGATATGAATTCAAATTTGTAGAATAAAACAGAATAATAAATACCTCAGAAAATACTAGAAACTGCATAAACACTTATGATATACATTTCATTGCTATTGACTTGTATGCAAAGTACAGTGAAATTGCTAGAAATAAAGCCAGTAGTAAATAATCTTCATGGAGGTTAACTGGTTTCTTTATAATTTCCTAACAAGTTTAACCACAAAAGTAAAGACACATTTAAAGGTATCTATTTTTATGATTATGTTTTGGTTCAGAATCAGCATTCATTTGAGTAACAAAATTATTTAGTTCTTGAAAAAATAAGGTAAAAAGCAAATACAATTTGCTAAACACAATTAGGGGACAGTGGGAATCTACTACAGAAGGCAGACATCACAACATCATGTTATTTATCCCTACCTATTGTAAAAAGGTATATGAGCTTCACAGAATTCAAAATTATTTTTCACACTTTCATGAAGTTTTAAATTAACTTTTATTTTTAGTTGTATTTCTTCTTCTTTCATTTGATAGAAACCCAAAATTGGTGGTACAGGGACCTGAAAACAAACATAAATTTTTATGAAATTCTCAGGTTAATGGGTCTAAAATACTAATGGTAATGGGGGAGGGAGTTCTTGTGTATATTATACACATTACATTATGTGAATGTGCATATATACACACACATATACAAACCTAATCATTATATACAGATCTGTCTATGATACATAGTGAGTTACTCCAACTGTTTTGACAATAGCAATAATGGGTCTATAAAAGGACAGAGATTCTTCTACCCCTTTCTGTTCCTAGACGAGAAAAGATGCCTTATAAAGGGGTACAATATATTCTTCCTCCTCTTGCTCTTCCATATTCTCCTCTCCAAATTAATTGACCTAGAGCACAGAACATGTACTAGACATACTGATAACTGCTGCCCTGCCCACAGTTCCTGATGTTCCATCTGTATTCTGTAATTGCATTCTTCCCACGTTCCTCAACTCAGGAGTAACTCAGAAGTAGCTTGACTGGTCATCAATAACTGACTAAAGGAAAAAAAAAATGTAGCCTGGAGTAAGCCAATCATTCCTATTAGTACATCAGAAGTAAGACATTGAGACTCTGCTTATATAATGTGGATCTTAGAGCTTTAAAATCTTATACAAGCATAGAAAGTTGAAAGAGGAGACAGAAGCAGAGATAAGACGATGTGGACTTTCAGTATAAAGTGATTTTAATTTTTCATATCCAATATGGTCTGGGTCTACCTCTTTTCTTGAATGACAATGAAGACTGCCTATTGTCTTCTCAAAATAATTTTTCCTAACTAAGGTCTACTAACATACTGATTGATAACTAGGGCAGAAACAAATAGCACATTATAGTAAAAAACAGTTTGGACTTTGGGATTCTGGAAAATCTGGGTTTAAATTAAAGTTCTGCCATTTATCAGTTACATGTAAAACATGACTAAATCATATCAAAATCTATTCTGTGAGTGTGGACTTCCTCTTAGGAATAATAATAAAAAAATTTCCCCGTCAAAAGAAGAATGGATAAAGAAAATGTGGCTTCTTACAAGAAGAAGAATGTAATTGTGGCATTTGCAGGTAAATGGATGGAGTTGGAGAATATCACGTTAAGCAAAGTTAAGCCAATCCCACCAAACCAAAGACTGAATGTATTGAGATGTGAATCTAATTCACAATAAAGGTGAGGTAGCTAGGGATTAAACAGAGGGGAGTAAATGGGGGGGGGGGATGGAGGTAAGAAGAACAGTAGAATGAATTGGACATTATTACCCTATGTGCATATATGACTACATGACCAGTGTAATTCCACATTATGTACTACCAGAAGAATGAGAAGTTATATTCTATTTATATATGTTGTGTCAAAATGCATTCTACTGTCACGTATAACTAATTAGAACTTACTAAAAAAGTAAAAAAGCTTTTTAATGTTGTTACAGACACCAGAGATTAACAGGTAGTCTATTTGAAGAAATGAATCTTCATCTTCATCTTCATCTCTCAATTATTGTCTGGTAAATAACTTCTGAAAAATTCTTGTTTGCACCAAGTGTACAAATGATTGCTTATCAATAATATTTATAAAGATCAGGAAAGTCTCAAACTTTTCCAAGATTATTTACCTGGGAAGTATAGTAGCATAAATTGAATGACTCTAAAGGTGGAGTGAATGGAAATTTATAAGGCCCACTAAATGCAGAATCATTCACTGCATCAATGCTGCTAGAGGTCAGAATGGCAGAATCAAGAGAAGTCACACAAGGATGAACTAGAATATCTTGAAGTGGAGATCCATTGGTGGGGAGGTTCAAGCTGATGGTGACATTTGGCATGATTCCTTCTAAATCACACTGTAACACAAGCAGAAATGGATATTACCAAGATATTGGAAACATACACCTTCTATTTGAGGCTTTTCTGAATTTATCAAAGTAATTTCCCCCAACTGAACTAACTTTTTTTTCTGCAGGAACTAATCTATTTGCTTTCTGTTTTCTGATACTTGTAAGATGCTACAGTCAGGTACCAAGAGAGCCTTCATATACCCCTCTGCTTATCACTATATCTCTGAGAAAGAAATGTTAAAAGGATGGGGATGTAGAATACTTGCTTAACACCATGCACAAAGCCCTGGATGCCTTTCCTGGTATGGGGAAAAATGTTAAATCTATTCACTACTCTACATTCCTTTTGTAATCATATTTTGTTCAGGGCTTCAATTTGTTATACCTCTAAAAATGTATCCATTTGTTTTCCTTTCATCAATCCATCTTCCATCAATGTCAGAGCTATCTTAATGAACCATAATTTTTATTATATTGTATCCATGCTCAAAATGTTTCATTGTTTGGTCCCTGTCTAACTCTTTAATCATTTTCCACCCTATGAACTCTGTTGTAGACATAGAGGATTCTTGCATTTCCCTGAATAATTCATATTGTCATACCTTCATATGTACCATTGCATGTGCTGTTTCCTTCAGTTAAAATGTTTTTTTTTCCTTACTATAAACTTTAACTCTTCATGTCTAGCTCATTTTGTATGATGCCTTACATTCTGAATCATCACGTCTACAGCCCACCTGTGCCATGTAGATGCCTAGAACCTTCTTCCATACATGACTTGGGTTAGACTATCAGTGGGAGTTAGTAATGAGACACACAGAAGAAAGAAGGGAAAGGAAAGCCATTATTCTTAGGAGGTCGTGGAAACCAGATATGACAGTTTCACAGACCTCTCCCTGAACACCAGATGTAGCACATTCACAGATCTTTTCATGAATTCCACTTTGTGGTTGTAACAGATTGTGACATGGCAGCTTCTAAGACTTCTCTGTGAATTCTGGTTTCTCTACTTATTCTAGTCTCCAGAATGAAACTGTTACTCTTTCTGGAAGGTTGCAACCAGAGGAAGACTTGTATTTCCCAAGCTCCTCTCATACTTGAATAAGCACTAATATCTTTATTTCTAGATATCTTATAGTACACACTGGCCAATTAAACCATATTGTGCCAGGCACAGTGGCACAGCACATATCTATTATCCCAGAGCTTCTGGACACTGACGCAAGAGGATCACAAGTTCAAAGCCAGGCTCAGCAACTTAGGGAGGCCCTACGCAACTTACTGAGACTCTGTCCCAAAGTAAAAAATAAAAAGGGCTAGGGATGTAGCTAAGCATTAAGTGCCCCTGGGTTCAATCCCTGGTATGGGGGCTGGGGGAAAGGCCATATTAATATCTTTTTTTGGCTAGATGTACACAATATTTTGAGAGTTAGTGGAACTCAGCAGGCAAAATGCTTAGTTCCAAATGCACTATCATATACACCATCTGCACCATGCATTAATTATCTACCGACAATAGGTATTTCTCTGTACCTCTTTGTTTCCCCTTTGAAGCTAGTTCTTTGAAAAAACTATTTTTATCTCTAGTGCCAACCCCACTACTATGCATAGGAAATACTAAAAAATGTTTATGAGTTTATATCTTTTTCTAATTATTGACCCTACTTTAAAAAATACTAGGGGGGAGGGGGGAGGATGGGAAAGGCAGCGGAGCACAACAGACACTAGTATGGTAATATGTAAATCAATGGATGTGTAACTGATGTGATTCTGCAATCTGTGTATGGGGTGAAGGTGGGAGTTCATAACCCACTTGAATCAAAGTGTGGAATATGATATGTCAAGAAATTTGTAATGTTTTGAACAACCCACAATAAAAAATTAAAAAAAAAATACTAATATATTTCTTTTCTAATGCTATACCTAACAATATGTGAATTCATTAATGTACCTGTTATATTTAAGAATTATACTTAAGAGAGAAAGCAGGCATTATGAATAGTATTAGATAGAATGAGTGTCTTATAAAGGTCTTTTGGTAACAATTACATTATGTCAAACTCAATTACAAACAGAAATGCTAAATAATCTTACTAAAATGCTTAAAAATATGTTACTGTTTCAATTTTTTTTCCTCCTTCAGTGCTGGAGCTTGAATCCAGGGCCTCATGCATGCTAGGCAAGTGCTCTACCACTGAGCTACAACTCAAGTCTCTCCAGTGTTTCCACTTTGAAATTATCTGCTTCTTTATTCTCTATATGTAAGCTAATAAGAATAAAAAGTAGTTGTGGTTTTTGATGGATATTTATGAAGATAATAAAAAAACATTTGATAATAAGTACTATTAAAATTATGTTCAGTTTTTGATTATTAAATTATCCTGTAGCAGTCTAACACCCTTAAAGAGGTCAGAGAACCAGCATCTTATAAAAACCTCCAACGAATTATCCACTCTTCAAGCACTTAAAAGACCAGATTATCAATCATTTACTATAGGATGAGGATATCCTTTCTAAAAGGGATGTGTGTATTACCCTTTAAATCAGTCAGGCTTATATAAATGTGAATTTTAAAAATACATGTTTTAAAAACAGAAGGCATCTAAGTGCTTGTCTCATTTTAAAAATGACAAATGATTCACAAAGTTGTGTGACGTTTCTGAAGATACATAGAAAAATAGTGGCAGAGTAAGAATTAGAACTTCAGAATTAGAACTTAATTAGTTCTAATTAAGAATTAGAACTACAGGCTTTCAGTGCATCAGGTTTTCTACTAGACTAAGATAAAACGAGGATAGTTATTTCCATTTATAATGGACTTCATAATAAAAATCTTCCTTTAAATATTTCTTTAATCTTCCCCATAAGCAATCTACTAGGGTCAGCTTATCAATCAGTGGAGACATTTAAATATTATTATATTAATTAGCATTTCATTATAAACAATTTATTCCTTGTTTATTGAAACAGGATGAAAAACACAGAAATGGTGAATTATCCTATTTTCATTATACCAAACTTACAAAAAAAAAGAAAAAAAAAGATTTTTGACTATTTTAAGATTTATGAATGACATAGTCCATGATTTTATGACTATTTACAATAGTTCTTTCTAATAGAATGAATATATTTTGACCTTGATAGAAGTACATTTAACATAGACAAAAGTTTTCAGTCACTTTTTTTTTTTTATGGTCCTGGGGATTTAACCCAGGGACACTTTTACTACTGAGCTACATCTCCAGTCTTTTTATTTTTCACTCTGAGACAGGGTCTTGCTCACTAAGTTGCTCAGGGCCTCACTAAGTTACTGAGGATGATCTGGAACTTGCAATCCCTCTGTCTTACTCTCCTGAGCTACTTTCATTATGATTAAAAGGGAACTGAAAAGAAATACCCAATTTCCCTGTCAGGACTATTCTGATTCTCTGTTCTTGAAATCTACTTTAATCCACAGGATCTACCTAGCCACTTAACATTAAAGGATGATGGAAAAATAAAGACATCTGAGAAAATTATTAATACATACTGATAAGAGTTTACTTGGAGGATTTTTATTTTTGGTCATTATTCAACATGGCATTAACCACCTGCTAACTCTATTAATATTTCCATTCTTTCCCCATCTTCTAACTTTAAACCACAGAATCTGATACTGATCTGTTACTTGTTTAAATAAAAAAAGAGCACTTCAAAATGATTTTAGCTATCATATCAGAGAATTAGTCAATTTCATGTGTTAGAGAAAATGGAAAATAGGGGAATTTTAAAATATGTTCACAAATTCTCTCTTTGTTCCAAAAAGTGGAACAAATCCCATACCTCTTATGATCAGACTTAGTGACTTGCTTTTAAACAAACAGAAAATAGTGGAAGTGATACCATGTGATCTTCCAGTCTAAGTAATAAAAATAATTATCTTCTGATTCAATCTTTTTCTCTCATATCATTTGATTCAAGGGGAGCCAGTCCCCAAATTGTGAGGACACTTAAGCAGCCTGTTTAAAGGTTCACATGTAAAGGAAATGAAGCCTCCTTCCAATAACCAGCACTAATTTGCCAGCCATATGAGTGAGTCAACTTGCATGTTCCAGCTTTCAAATGACTATAGACCCAACCAAAATCTCGACTCTTATCTCTTGACTTCTTCTACATTAGAAGTTCCCAGCTAATCCCCAACACCACAAAACAAAACAAAACAGAAGTTCCCAGCTAAGCTACTCCTGAAGTTATGACCCACGGGAACTATGAGGATAATAATGGGGCAATTCATCACATAGTTATAAGTAACTAAAATAAGTGGTAAGAAATACAAATAGAAGACATCAAATTTCATATGTCTATCATCTAATTATACCCTAAAGATTAAAAAAAACAAAGATATCACTTAACAATGTAAAATACAAGTAATAGAATTTTACTTTCTCCATATATGTTAAATGGTATGATAAAGCAAATACCCAAGAAAATCTCACCTTGCAAATGACTGCTCCAACAACTTGCCATGTATCTGCTATATCCTGTTTATCATATTGCATGGATTTTACCTTTTCAGTAATAGAAATAGAAACCTGTGGTTTTCCTTTGTATGTTCCAGCTTTCCAAGCTGGCTGTTTCTGTGGCTGTGACACAGAAGCAAAATTAATATTATCCAATGAATTCTGTAAGTTGGCATCTAATAAAGTACCAAATGGACAAGCCTGAAGAAGCAAATTAGGCAACTGGCTCAATTTTGTATTTAGCTCAGTATCATTTTTTTGACTAGAATAAAGAAAATCCTGTATACCAAAAAGAAGTTCCAAGCCTTGTGAAATTCCACTGATGCTAATTAATGGTGGATGAGGGGAGAGAGTTTGTTCAACAAGTGGAACACTAGCATATATCATGCCATTCTTCAGAAAAGCAACCACTGGCCAGAGTTCTTCACCTCCGAATGAAAGTCTATAGATGGTTGTTTTATTGATGTGTGTACAACTATCACGACGCTCTACAAAGTCCTTATCATCATCCAATAATCTAAGTTCAAAAAGGAGTGCTTTAAGAAAGGGACCATCTTCAGGAATAGGCACATAACTTGCTCCATTGAATACTTTGGCTCTCTTTTCAACGGTTGGATATCGTCTGCATTAGGAAAACAAGAAACATTATAAATGATTCTTTCAAATAAAATAAAAATGGAGGAATTAAGAAAAAACCCTAAAACACAAGCAAACAGGAATAACAATAAAACATAAAATAACAAATATACATACCCATAAAAGCCAAAATCCCCAAAACATGTTAAATTCCTATCAGAATAACTGTTTTACATTTGAGGTTGTTCCAAATGATAAAGTGTCATCTATTACTGAAAATGCTTAGTTATTTAATTTTTTAAATAGGTAAAGTACACCAATTCTAATTTAAAAATTTGTCAGGCACTCAGATTCCTTCTTGGTCGACAGAGTATATACCTAGACCATTCTAGGCATTCATAGAATTTTTTTTTTTTATTCCATCCTAGAGGAGTAGGACTAAAGAAGTTATTCAATTTACCCTCCGAAATTTTGGATCCACTAGTTAAGATGATATGATTAAAGAAATGTTCTATTCTACTTAGTCTATAGTGAATAACACCCTGAGTCTACTTGCTAAACTTTTTAAAAATACGGAACATTGTTTTATTAATAATAGTTTAACTCTATGGCTCTGGAAAACACTATTAAAAAAAGAAGTCTGAATATTCCTTTATGGTTTGCATGTCTGGGTTAAATGGTAAGTTAGTAATTTATTTTCTTTTTCCTTCTTTCAGGAAACAGAACAAAAGATGTTTTTGCTCATTTATAGAAATCTGTTAGTCGTATTTTCTTAGTTTAAAAAAATGTATTTTTCCCTGTTCTTTCCTGCTCCACTTCAAAGTCTAGAATGAAGCTGTCTGTTAGCTACTGACTTTTGAGTAAATCATCTAACTTTCCTATGCCTATTTTCTTATTTATAAAATAAATGGGAGGCTTGGGGGTGTAGCTCAGTGGAAGATCACATGCTAGTGTGAGGCCCTGGGTTCAATCCAGCAAGAAAAATAAAAGGATGACAAAAATCAGCAGTTTTTAATCAAGAGTCAAAAACATACTTACATAAAAGTTTTTTCCACTAATAAAATTCTGATGTTGCTAATAATTTTTAAAAGAAAAATAAGTTACATTCAAAGTTAACCATTTATGAACAAACCTCACTTTTTAAAATTATAATGTATTTTCTTGACTGAGGAAGGGGAAGATTCAGCCAGCATATCATTTGTGATGCATCTTATTCTCTGTTTACCTAGAGGACAAAGTTTTTAAGTGTAAAAATTTCATGACTGAATGTAAAGATGGTTAATATGGGATCTTATACATGTCTCTCTATGTGTTCAATAAATATTTTGTTGGGTTACTTGACCTGTCATTTCAAATTTATTCTGAGCTACTTGTAAAACATGACTCAAACCTTAATTGGCTCTAAAATTAGGGATACAATAGCAACTGAAGCCAGACTTAAGCTGATACCATTATTATCTGGACAGCAAACCTTTCCAGAATCAAAACTAATTTTTGCTGTGGGAAATAAATGGTTAGATAGAGGAAAAATCACTTTTCTTATTAAATCTTAAACAATAGTTATTATCCTTTGTTGTACTAATTAATAATATGCCAAAGCATATCTCTTTAGTCCTAACAGTAATCCCAACAGATCAGGAATCTGAATAATACAACGTTACCAATTCATTCAAATAATAGAGAACTAAAGTCATAGATGTATTATTTGGTCACTTTGCTGCTTCCATGGAATTGTTGAGAAGCTCAATCAAATATATCTGAGGTTTCTTCTAAAATAGTATTCTGAGCACACTGAGAAAACATTTTTTGCATGACTTCTTCAAGGAACATATTTTCTTAAGCAATAAAAACTTTCACTTCTATATTAAAATACACTACAAAGCCACAGACATAAAAACAGTATGGTACTGGTACAAGAAAGACAAAAAGAACTGAGATAGACCAATGTTTTTATGGGGGAACATAATAACTATTATTAGTAATTTCATCACTCAACAAATAAAAGATATACTGCTTTGAAGATGTTAGGAAAACTGGTCCATGATAAGAAAGAAATAAAATGGGATTCCTGCCATCTCTAAAGATGTTCTACAGATGGATTAAACTTCTAAATATAAGAGATAAAATTGCAAAATTCAGAGGAGATAATGTGGAATGATATCTTTGGGAAATAAGGGTAGAGAAATAGTTCAATAAATTCCTGAGGAGCTTACTACTCCAATTGCATTAAAATTAGTGATCTGTTTAACCAAGAACAACATTAAATTGACAAAAGATAAATTTAAAAATCTATACTAACAATGACATGAATTAGTATCAAGAATACATAGCAAACTCCTACAAATCAACAGAAAAAAACAGTAACTTTCAAAGGAAAACAAGGACGGGCATATATATGAGGCTATTCACAGAAGAGGAAACCCAAAGGACTAACCTTTATTGCTACACAGAGAAATGTCAATCAATTAGAATAAGTGTCAAGAAAGAACAGATATAGGAACCCTCACTAATCATTGGTGAGTCTCGATGGGTGCAATTAGCATTTTGAGAAGCAAATTAATTATTTGGAAATATTTATTCAAAATCAGCATATGTATGCACTATGGACCTGTTTGATGATGTCTACTTGAGAATTGTTCAGATGGCTATGAATTGGAAGCCACTTTGTAGATTATCACTAGGGAAAGGAGATAGGTAAAATGTGGAGGTAAATCATGGAGTACTACAGAGCAAGTAGAAGCAACAGCCTAGATCTAGGGTACAATAGAGACACTAAACACATGAAGTTATTTAAACTTATATTAAAACTAAGCAAAATTAACAAGTGAGTTTCTCAGATCAGCCACAGTTCAAAAGCTCAATACCTACACATGCATGTGGCTATATTAGCCAACTCAGGTTTAGAACATTTCCCCTTTCCATCAATAGTAGAAAAATTCTATAGGATAGCGCAGCTCTAAATGAACACAAAGTAATATGATGTTTCTAACAGCACTGGGAAGTCTGACAAATGCAACAAATGGAAATCTAAAGCACAATTAATTATATAATTTGACAAATACATATAAACAAAAGGATAATACAGAACATGTAAGAGTTACCTGCTGGAACAGGAGAATGGCAGTTAGAAACAGGTAACCAAAGGGAATATATTAGTAAAATGAAGATATCCTGGATGAATAATGAGGCCGATGAACCATGGACCAAAGAATAATACTAATTTCTTGTGTTTGAGGTCCAACAACAATAAATGTAAGCCAAGTGTTCTGAAAGAAAATGGTAAACTCCAACCCTGATGCCCTCAGTAACAAAAATTGTTTAGGCTGCAAAAGCAATGTCTCATATCTACATTGCCAATTACTTTAAAATTACATCCTTCTTTATCTGGCTCAATCTCATTTCCATCAGGCTATGTCACTATAGATGGAAGAATGAATAAATAGCAAAAAAGAACTCTAAGTGGTCACCGAGAATAAAAGGTGAAACAGATTACTTTCCCTAACATTTTACAATGAATTATTGTATACAGTTTTCTTCATAAAACTATCTTGATAAAATATGGAGAGTTGTAAAAGTGGGACCAGATCGCTTACACGATCTAAGAAAAAAGTGAATGCAATTTTTCATACTTCCTTTTCTTCATCAACCGGAACTAGCAATGTGTTTAGTAATGACACAAAATAAGATGAAAATAAGTCATACTGCTTAGCAAGGATTTTTTATGAGTTAAAATGTCCTTGATTTTATCAATGAGAGTCGAAACTTTTAAAACGTGTTTTTTTCCTTTATCATCTCTGTATCAAGCCTAAGCAGATGGAGTTAATTTTAAGATGCAATAATACTTATACTAGAAAACGCATGTAATAATCTGTCAGGCAACAATTCGTTTTATTTTTACAACAGTATAAAATATTCACTTAATAGGCAAAACAGAGGTTAAGTAACTTGACCAAGATCATTCGTGGCAGACCTGGGATACAATGCATCACAAAACAATGCTATATCAATGAATCTTCGATTGATCATTCCTGGGGATTCAGATTTGCATTTACCTGGAGAATCTCACGGTGCCACAAAGTGGAGTTCCTGGTTCGTGGCGTATAAGCCACACTGCTCGCTGGGCCATAGTAAGCCACTAAAGCATAAGCTCAGCTCCTTACCAAAGTCGCCACCAAGGAACAGCGCAGACCGGCTTTCTCCGCGGGATTCTTAATTGAAGTCCCGAGATTCGCCCTGCGCCACACACGAACTCACTAGAGATGCTGGCTCTTTCAAGGGAGGCGAAAAAAATCTCTGATTCTATCCTGGTCAAAACATATCACAAAAAGTTCTAAAAATCCGCACCTAGAATCTTGAGAAACTTATCCCCAGCAAACCCAGTATTTTCTTCCTCTAATTTCCACTTCCGGGATGGTGGCCCGCAAGGATCAAGGTTCCTCACTTGCCCAAGCACCCAGCCTCTCTCCCGTTCGCCAGCCGCTAGCTTCCCTCGCCTGCCCCTCCCGATTCCTTTCGGGCGCGCGCAGCTCCACTTCCGGCGTATGAGGCGGTGACAATGGGAGCGGCGCGGGCGGCGCCGGGAGGCAGCTGACAGGCGTCTGCGGCTCCGCTTCATGGCCGTTCTCTCGCTCAGCCTGGGTTCTGTAAGGACTGGGGAAGCCCGCGGCGGCTCGGAGTTGGAGCTGACCAGCCAAGCAGGGAACTGTGCGCGGCGCCGCTGAGGCGCAGCATGTGAAGAGGAGACGGCATCCAGCGCGGGGCGAGCCTCTCAGCCGGCCGGGATGGCCACGACGGCCGAGCTGTTCGAGGTGGGTCCCGCGTCCCTTCGGGGAGTGGCAGGCCCGGGGTGCGGGCCGCGAGGTGCGCGGGCGGAGAAGCGGGCGTTCTCCCGCCGCCCGGAAGAAGCCCTGGGAAGGAAGGTGCGAAAGCCAGGGTGGGGTGGCGTCTTCGGCGGCGGACGGGCGGAGCGTGCGGTGGGGGAGGGGAGGTTTGGGACCGCGGGAGGGCGGTCGGTCCCTGGGCGCTAGCCGGTTGTCCCAGGAGAGGGTTGGCTTGGTCCGCGGGGTCTGAGGGGCGTCTCGGAGGTCCCTCCTAGTGAGGGACGATGTCCATTCGGAATAAGTCGTGGGAAGGGCTGACTCCGGAGGCGAGTAGAGGAGCCGGCAGCTCCAGGTGGGGCGAGCCTTGTCTTGTCGCGTGACTCTTCGTGACAGTATTTCAAGGGGACCACCTGAGACTGCGACTCTTGGGGGCTTCTCATTGCGCCATTAGTAATACCAGAAGTGGCACTCATGTGCTTACTCTTAACATTTGGTAAAGCTGGGAGTCTTTTTTTTTTTTTTTTTTTTTTAAGGACAGTAAAGGCCTGTTTAGCCTACAACTGAAGGGAATCAAAACTGAAATGATTATGTGTTGGAATCTTAAGAAATTTAAGGGTGTTATAAAAACCACCTAACTGCGAGCTGGAGCATCGTGAACGTGCGCTTGACAGTGTGCATTCTAATGTATTTCCTTGAATATATTCAGTCTCCTAAGCCTGAAAATTTAACTTTTTGAAGTCCAGTGTAAAAGTGTGTCTTGTTTGAAAGGATAGGAAAGCCGCAACTGAACCACGAAACAATGAAACATATAAAATATTTCCTTGTGTGAAAGAAAGCGGAGATACGCGTGAAAAGAAAGGAAAGACCCTTATTTGGTGTGGCTATTCTTTATTGAGTTACAGAAGTATAAGCAGTAGAGCACAATGCCATTCACAATTGAGAATTTCTCATCAGGGAAAATTGTATCCCTTTTCTACCTGAGATTCAGCAGTTTGTGTGGCTTAAAATTTAGATGACACAGTTTTTGTTACAATTGGAACTTTTCATTATTACTTTTGTGAGTATTATGTCTTGGCCTTCAGTCGTCCCTTGCATAGATAACGCTTTTTTTGAGGGGGATGACATAATATTATAATGAATTGTAATAAAACAGCAAATTTTGAGTGAAGCATTATAATTAGATGAGATTTAAGAAGTATTAATTGTGCCTTCTCAAATTTAATTGTTGGAGGATACATTACATCAGTTTGTCCAATTATAAAATTGTGCCATCTGCTTTTTGACACCAGAGCAAGGAGACATTCTTGCTGAGAACTTTTACTGTGTACCTGGGCAGAATACTAGGTAGTTCTGTAGTTACTTGTTTTCTTTTTCACATCTTACAAAATTTTGTGAAGGTGTGAGATTTTTAATTAATGTATTTTGTGACAAACCAGCTGTTAACAAAAATCTGTTATATTGTCGTACAGTTCATAAGACACTTTTGAATTAATGGATCCTCCTTGACATTCTCAGTTGTGTCTTGGACATATTTTAAATATATCTTTTCTTTAGATGAGTGACCACATGAGTTCCGTAACTTACTTGAAAATATATTTGGGTACTACCTTTTTCCCCAGGGGGAAAAAAGGGGGTTGTGGTGAAATATATATTTTGTTCTCTAGGGTCTTGCCATTTAGTAAAGTAGTTAAGCCAAATTAGGGTTTACCTTATCTTATTGTCTCCAGTTAAATGGTAGCTGGTGAGATTTAGTGGTGGTGACAGAGACAGAACCTCTGACCAGAGGGTTCTTAGACCAAACTTAAACATATTTATAGGTCTTAACTCAAGTGACTTTTCCCTGGATATATGTAGCTGTTGCATCATCAAAATCAAAGGCATGTTGTAATAATAGTTATAATTATTAGTTAAATGTAATTAAGAAGTATATTTATCTTTTCCTGGATGCCTATGAGTCTAGCTCTATAGTGGACTCTGCTGTTGAGGAAGTTTTCATTTTCAAGTGAAAAGTTGACCTCTTAAGATTTTAGAGGGAAAAAAAAAAAAAAGATTTTAGAGGGAGAAGAAAGAAAAAATCCTCAGTCACTTCTGCCATTTCCTGCTGTTACTACCGTTGATCTAGGTTGCAGAATAAATCAGGGAGTGTCTTTTTCTCCTGCTTCCCTTTCTTAGTCACAACTGGGGAACTGTGGAAAACAGGGCAGGATGTAGTCAAGGATATTTTGTTTTTATGCATCCTGGTTTTCATGTACTGTTAAATAGAATTGTGCTTTCATTTTCCACATTGAAGAGATTATAAAAGGAAACAACATTAAACTGTTAACTGTGCTTTTAAAAAAAAATCTCTGACTTTTCCCTTTTAAACAAAGACAACGTTATGCAACAAAATCAAACTGCAGGATATTTCCTCAGTTGGCAGAAATGATTTATTAATAGATGATTCATTTATTGTTATAATGTATATCATAGAAATCTCCCAGTTTCAACTCTTGTTGACAGATCTTTCTGAAGGTATCATCTGTAGTGTTTTTAAATGATCACCTCAGGATGAACTTTCTGAACAAGATTTCTCTGGTTTGGATTCATTATGTATTCTACACATAAATAATGACTGGAGTGGTAAAGTGCCTCTGGGTTCAATCCCTAGTACAACTCCCACCCCCACCCCGACCCCAACAAAAAAGAAAAGAGTAGAAAAGAAAAAAGATGGTGAGTTAAAATTATAGTTGGGGTAGAAAAATGTGTTAATATGGTGCAGTGGAGTCCAGGATCTTTTCCTGGGATGATTAGGAATGCTTTCATATAGTAATGACATTTCAGGGCAGACACAGACGCTAACTCCAATTTGTAAGGGGGTGTGTGTTTAGGGAATATTGAGATGAAACAAGGTGTGTCTGTGCATGGTTTAGAAATAGGGAGTGTTGTGGCTGGTGGTTCATAGTAAGATATTGAAATTGAGACCATGGGGGTTTGAGGAAGATTTGAGAAAGCTTTTTGTAGACCATATTAAGGGGCTGAGCTGACTCCCCTCCCCCCACCCATCTCCTTTTCTTCAGTACTAGGGATTGAACCCAGGGGCAGTTTACCACTGACCTACATCCCTAACCCTTCCAGCACTTTTTATTTTGAAATAGGATCACCCTAAATTGCTGATGCAGGCCTGAATTTGTAATCTTCCTGTCTCAACCTACCAGAGTGCTGGGATTATAGGTGTGTGCCGCTGTGCCTGGCCTGATATGCTTTTTTAAAAAGGGGATGTCGGGGGAGGCAGGGAATCTTAATGTTCATGTGAAGAATGGCCTTCAATGGATAAGAGATTTTTAGCTAGGAAAACAGGGGTCATGGGCAATCTGCCTTAGTTCTTGTCATTTGGTAATTATTTCACAATTGTCTGTTGATTGATTAATCAAGGCAGGGAAAATTTTAGCATAATTTAATGGAAACACAGAAGCCAAGAAATCTGGAAAGATGTGTTGGAGGAAGAATCAAGAGTTCTGTTAATGAGGAGTTAATTCCAAGTTTATGAACTTTGGAAAATAGGTGGTTGATGATGTACTAACTTGTGACACAGAAATTGGAAGAACCCTTCAGGGGTAAGGAATAATGTGCTCATTTAAAAATATATATATATATATATATATATATTTTAAATTTGAGTTTTTATTAAAGTATTTTGGTGAAGAAGTCCAGAAGGCAATTGTAAATATGAATTGGTTACTCGAAAAGAGGGCATAGCTAGTTAGGAGTTTAGGAATTACTATTTTAATTGGATGGTTATTTAGACCTGGGAATGAATGACATCTCTTAGTTCTACTTTTTAGTAGTTATGTGGTCTTGGGCAAGTTACCTAACATCTTTGTGCCTCAGTTTTTGTGTTTGTAAAGTAGGGAAAAATAGTTTCTACCTAGAGAGTTATTTTACTTAGATGAATCTCAATTAAAACATTCTCAATTTAATTTTTAAAATTAAGTAGTAGTCACTTTCAATTTAGGTGGATTAAGAAAATGACATCTATCAGAGAGGAAAAGTCTTTCAGTGCAGACTGAGAAGAAAACGATACAAAAGATAGGAGATTATGCTAGGAGAGAATTAAAAAACGAGACTGGATGCCCAACAAGATCCGCAATCCTACAGTGTGACTGACACTCATCTCCTAGAGAAGAAGGGTATTTATTTCTTGAACCTGGCCAGTAGAAGTGATACTACATAGTGTTTTCCAAGGTGGTATCCTGGTTCTCTTTTAATACTCTTTTGAAATCTAGCAGCTGTTCCAAGTAAAAGCCAAAGCAGCCCTTTCAAAGAACCAAGGCCCTTGGCCCTCAACTCTGGCTGAACTCCCAGCTGACAGTAAATACCAATTTTGCCATCCCAAGTTGAGCAGCCTCAGCTGATGTCACATAGCCTCAGCTATGTTTCCTTACTGAGCCCTGCCCAAATTGCAGATTTGTGAACAAAATATTATTGTTTTTTTGTCACTAAGTATGGGGATGGTTGTTACATAGCAATAAATAATTGGAACAGAGACTACATCATTAATAGGCTTCAACCACTTTTAATATTAAGAATGGTAGAAGCAGAGGTAGATGATTAAGAGTAATGGGTTTACGTTTAAGTGTTATGCCTTGAGTTCTCTAGTCAAATCAACTTGGAACTGAACTTCTGGAAGAACAGTCCTCAAATTGAGGATGATTTTAGACTGCACTTGTGTGTGATTAGTGTAAAAATACTGACTCCTCCGGA